TTGTGAACCAATGAACCTGCTGAACTAACCAATACTGAATCCTAGATGTATCGGTTCAGCTAAGGGGAACCTGTGCGGCCCCCACCAGATGATGTTGGACTCCAACTCCCAGTAGCCCCACCCAGCACAGCCAGTGATGCTGAGAGCTGGATGCTGACAATATCTGGGGAACCACAGGCTCTCCATCCCTGAAATAAGGCTTACTGCAGGTGTATGTTACTAAATTTAGATACAGTACTAGTAAGGATGTAGAGTATTCTGCTGGCCTAGACAATACTAAAGATTTACACTGATGGATAGAAAGTGGGTTTTTTGCCTGTTGACAATAGGAGTTGAACTGACCTGGATTATACTCTGGCTTGTGATGAAAGATTCCTGTGATGGTTTCACTCCGAAACCCAAGCGCAACATGCCACTGCCCAGCTGATTACCGTATTTTTCGCCCCACAGGGCGCACCGCCCCGTAGGACGCACCTAGGTTTTTTTTTGGGGGGGAAATAAAGAAAAAAAAAATTCCCCCCCAGGCACGGGGCTGGGGCGGGGGGAAGCCCGAGCTTCCCCTGACCCCAGCCCCCAGAACAGCCTGCTATCCGCAAGCCTAGGGAGACTCGCGGGAAGTCGCGCAGGTCTCCCCAGGCTTGCGGAGAGCTGCGCGAAGCCCGGGCGAGCTCTTCAGCGCGCCCCAGGCTTCGAAATGCAGGCAGCTCTGCACAGCCCTCGGGAGCCCGGCGCGACTTCCCACCGGGCTCCCTAGGGTTGCGCAGAGCTTCCTGAAGCCTGGAGAGCAAGAGGGATCGGTGCGCACTGACCCCTCTCGCTCTCCAGGCTTCAGCGAAAGCCTGCATTCGCCCCATAGGACGCACACACATTTCCCCTTCATTTTTGGAGGGGGAAAAGTGTGTCCTATAGCGCGAAAAGTACAGTATGCTTTCTGGTGGCATACTGGTTGTGTAGTAAGATCCATTGCAACATAGGCAGACTACAGTGAGGATCAGGCCACCCCACATAAACCACTCCCTCTGTGCAGGTGTGTTTAAACAACAGCGGGCCTTCTGAATTTTCTCATTTGGACAGCACAGGGAAGAAGAGTATGCTTTTCAGTGACACAATTGGGAAGAAAGAGAAAAGTCCCTCCAGTTATTTTAGCACTCATGCAACTAGGTGCACAACTGCCATTCCCTTGCCATCAAAGCTTGATTCTTCTTGCTTTTTCACAACACGTTAAGTCTGAAAACAAGGAACGAATACCACAGTTTTAGTTTTCAAAGAAGCTACCTCCACATTTACTTAAGCAACAGGTCTCCTTTTCAGAGCCAGGGAAACCTATATTTTTGCATGTTTTTGATGTTTTTCTATAGAACTTAAACAACAGAAATCTTTTTCTGGAGGAGAAAGATGATGCAACTGCTAGCTCTGAGGATGACAGCTTTTTTGTTCAAGTTCATGACGTTTCCCCAGAGCAACCTCGTACAGTCATCAAAGCATCTCGCTTTAGTACAGCCCAGGATGTCATCCAACAGGTAGGATGTCCTAATTCATTTTCCCCTCACTTGCTGAGAGTTACACCTGTCTCTTGCAGAAAGAACAGCAGAATAGCATGTCAAAAAGATGGATTGTCCCGACTGGCTGTCACTGCTAACACACTTCTGCCCACAAGACTAGGTTTTAAATGTGTTTTGGCCTGTAAATGATTTAGGTTAGACCAGGGGTCAGCAAACCTTTTCAGCAGGGGGCCAGTCCCCTGTCCCTCAGACCTTGTGGGGGGCCGGACTATTTTTTTTGGGGGGGGATGAAAGAATTCCTATGCCCCACAAATAACCCAGTAAAAGGTAAAGGGACCCCTGACCAGTCCAGTTGTGACCGACTCTAGGGTTGCGGCGCTCATCTCGCTTTATTGGCCGAGGGAGCAGGCGTACAGCTTCTGGGTCATGTGGCCAGCATGACTAAGCCGCTTCTGGAGAACCAGAGGAGCGCACGGAAACGCCGTTTACCTTCCCGCCAGAGCGGTACCTATTTATCTACTTGCACTTTGACATGCTTTTGAACTGCTGCATTTTAAATAGAAGCACACATTCTACTCATGTAAAAACAAAAACACGCTGATTCCCGGAATGTACATCCAGCAAATGAATGATTTATCCCTTCTGTTTGTGCAAGGTGAGATCTGCCTTAGAAGTGAATGGTAACTAAATAGCATTTGGTTTTGCATTTTTATTTTCTTTTAACAGACTTTATGCAAGGCTAAGTATTCCTACAGTATTCTGAACCACCCCAACCCAAGTGATTATGTTCTCTTGGAGGAAGTGACAAAGGAGGCAGCAAACAAGAAGTCTTCTACACCCAAAATGTCTCGGAGGATCCTTGCCGACCAGGAGTGTGTGTTTCAAGCTCAAAACAGGTGGAAGGGAGCTGGGAAATTTATCCTTAAGCTTAAAGAACAAGTCCAAGTAAGTAAATTGTTCTACAAAGCTCTGCAAATTAGAAAATGAACATACTATCATCTCTAGCAAAATTGGCAAAAGGAGTTTTATATTCATTCTTTGGGCAGAAGATTCATAACAAATCCTTTAAATTGTTATTTAATAGCTTTGGATTATCAAGATATTTGTTAGAACTGAAGTCAATTCAATTCTTCAGGATGGAAGTTTACCCATGAGAAAGTTTCACTATGGAAGGAAGGGGGGGGGTAGGGCAAAGTCACCATGTGATGACATTTTCCTGCCATAAATGATATAATAGAGGATTGACACGGAACTGTTCTTTTGTGCAGAACTGTTCACCCCACAAGCCAAGCTAACACTGACAATGTTTTTGCAACTTGGTTATTTTGGTTCCCTGGCTTTTTCTTTTCATAGGCAGGCCGAGATGATAAAAGAAAAGGTATTTCATTTGCTAATGAGTTTAAGAAATTAACTAAATCAAGTAAGCAGTACAGGGGCTTTATAACCACATCTCTACAAACGTCTTCAGAGGGTCTGCAAAGTAAAGATGACAAGACTGCATGCAGTTTGACTTACAGCGACACGATGGAATAACCTCCAGAGATTTGTATTCAGGTAGGACATGTTGGCTGTGATCTAAATAACATAGTGTACTTATATACCAATTTAAACTACATAAGCATTGCTAAGCTTGCAATAACCCAAGTAATAAACTCCTGATTATTATTTTTTTTTTAAATGCTGAGAAGCCTTCCTTAAAATAGCCTTGTCTTTTATAATCAGTGATGAAGTAGGGGAATGGTTTAGTTAACAAATTAAGTGATAACACAGATTTCCCTTTCATTTTTGCTGTTCCAGCTAGACACCCTGTAAGAGAGAAGGGAAAAAACTGGTAGACTTTTATTGCCATCAAGTTAAATTTAGGATGCATCCAGATGGCAACTTCTCACGCTCCCAGCTGAGCATAATCCCCAAAAACGGCTTTTCCAGACAATCAGAATATAGAGCAGTCTACGTGTGCTTGCTTCTAATTTGTTGCATGGGATCAAGATACTTTCCGTTGAGCAAGTGCTTTTGGTTCAAGGACAGATCTGCCTGTGTACAGTGTAGTTGTGATTGTCACAGGAACTTTACTGTGCAGGTCACCATGGTTGGTGAGTTTCCTACACCTGTAACAGTAGCATCTTGTACCACCAATGCAGTTTACTAGGTTTACTTGTAGAGGAGCTGAAAGATGGTTTATTGTGAACAAGCTGTGCTGATGCCGGCTGCTTCAAAGTTCCCATGGCACTCCCCCCGCCCCCCCTTCTGGTGCTTGGTGAATAAAGCAAGCCAGGCTGCCTTCTTCAAACACAGGCTTGTGGTTTATTTCCTCCAAACAAGCAACAATTGTTAACCTTTTCCCTTATTGCTCATGGAAGAAACAAACAATGAACCTTGGTTTGGAAGGTGCAGAGTTGGGAACTTTTGAGCAGTGTGCATTATTCACACTAAACCATCATGTTAGGCTATCTTTAATGTGACATTAAAATGGGGCAACCAGATACGAAATCCATGAGAGGTTCTCTTTCCTGTTAATCAGTAATTCCAAGGAAATGCTATTTTCGGAACTACCGTATTTTTCGCTCTATAGGACGCACTTTTTCCCCTCCAAAAATGAAGGGCGAATGCAGGCTTTCGCTGAAGGGGTCGGTGCTCACTGACCCCTCTCGCTCTCCAGGCTTCAGGCAGCTATCCACAAGCCTTTGGAGCGCGGCGGGAGTTCCTGCCGGGCTCAGAAGGCTTGCGGATAGCAGCAAGCTCCCGCCGCTCCCGGACCCATTCTGGGGGCTGGGGTTGGGGGAAGCTCGGGCTTCCCCCGCCCCAGCCCCGCGGCTAAAGAAGAAGCCAAGACAGCCAGCGGGATTCATCCCGCTCGCTGTCTTGGCTTCTTTGCTCTTTGGAGCTGGGGGGAAAATAAATTTTTTTTTCTTTATTTCCCCCCCCTAAAAACTAGGTGCGCCCTATGGAGCGAAAAATACGGTAATTTAATGACAACAGCATAAGAGCTTCCCATTTAAGGGGAGAAATTTAAGCAATAGAACCTCAGTACTTGCCTTTTGCTAGATTTTGTTCATTCAACATATGGCAGCAGTATTTAAGTAATTAATTGCTCAAAATCTTTTTAAAAAATGTATTTAAACCTCTCTGCATTTCCTCCTGATTCTAGGAAATTACAAAGGCCTTAAATACAAGAGACAAAAGCTGCAGTGAAGTTGATAGAAAATGACGATGGATTCACTCCTTCAGCTTCTTTGCACAGTCTTGCTTTGGGAGGAGATAGGGGGTGTAACTGGAATGTGTCTAAATAAGAGACAAACCTTCGTACAGTGGAGCAAGTCACTGCTAAGGAACTGGCTGGCCCAGCTGAATCTCTGCTACCAGTGCAGGTGCAATCTAGTTGCTGCTTCTGCTGGCAAGAGCCAAGTCTGTGAACAGTGGAGGAAGTTGTGTTTTTGAGGCTTTGGAAGAATACCCTGGAAGCATTGGAGACTGTTCCTCCTTTTGTCTTCATATTCACTACCTTTGGACAAGAGGGAAAGTAAGCACCTTATATTTGTCCATTGCAATCAGAAATCTGCCTTTTTAGAAAAAAATAATTTAATTAGGCATCTTAAGGGAAAATGAAAGTTGAGGATGTTCTGTAGTGTGTTACAAAACAATAATGCACTTTTTAAAAGCGGCTTCTAAACACACTTTTAGGTGGTTGTAGGCAGATAAAAAGTACATTGTAATTCATAGATTTCAGTATGGTGAATATAAAAGTTATGATTTGTCAGTGTACAGCTGTAAGTATACCTATTTTAATAGCGATACTGATGAGGAGCAACATTTCTTCATGCAATTTATTCCTGTTTTTGTTTTTTTAAAAATGATTATTTATTTTAATATTCTAAGGTATGTGCCACTGTATAATGTATTTATCATGCCTTGCTTTACAGAAAATTATATGTATCTCTGTTTAGAGAAGATAAGCATTATAATGAGAAGTACATTCAGGAAACATAATCTGTATGTTCACTATCAATTCACTATTATAAAGGTGTTTTGAGAGAAATTAACAGCTTGAAGTTTTTTCTATCTGAATTGTTAAAGTCAAATATATATTCACTCTTACCATAGCTGGCAGCCTTATTTAAGAAATTTAAACCTAAAAGCATACTAGTATGTTCATTTTCAGTATAAACCTTGCAATTTCTGTTTACATAAAAGTATTTGTAAAGATTTGTATATGTTTGCAAAACCATGGTGGGCTTTTGTTGTTTTTATAAGGCCGTTAGCACCGGCTGTAACTTCCCTTCCTTTTGTTAATAATACAATTAAAGCAATTTAATACTACCCATATAAAGCATGCAAGAACTGAAATAGTAACTGGTTTTGACTGTCTTTTGATAATGATAGTACAAATTTTAAACTGTTCAAAAACGGGCTTTGTGGAACCTACATCAACACACCTGCTGTTCACCAGGATCATATTGTGAGAGTAAATCAAGAAAAGAGCCTGTTCAGTTAACTGAAGTTCAAAGCAAAATGCTGAAAAACAATTTGAACCTGAATGGAATGCAAAGTCATAATCAGATTGGATGTTCTACAAAGCTTAATACTCATGGCTTGCAAAATGTAGCCATTCACCTCTAATCCCCACAAGGCCCCTTCACCTCAAAGAAGCAGCCAGTAGGAACCTAACATTAAGGAAAGCCAATTTAACTCCAAAAGTTTTAAAAAATTAGCTAAGGGGGAAGGAAGGTCAGGACTTAAATCCAGAAAAGACTATTGTTTGTTTATGTTTAGTCATAGGGCTTGGTAGAGGAATCATTTGTTATAAACAGAAAATAAATGCCTTACTGGCACAGCAAAAAACAACAACACAGCTGTATGTACATAGTGCCCTCCAGTGGCAGGACTCTAGATTGCAATTTTGTTGATCGGTCCCCACATGCCAGGGGTGGGCAGAACAACTAATGTGACTTCTGTGTTTCTACAGTGAGCAAGTTTCTTAACCCAGCCATCTCTATCCTCCCTCCAGGCAGGCAAAGAGGCCTGGACAGGTAACATTTGTCTCCCATCCCTGCTGTAAGCAGGTCATCCATCTCTTAGCCAAGAAAACGATGATGTTTTGATTACCACACTTTAAAAATGCCACAGTAACACTCATTTACCTTCTCACAGAAAAAGCCAGGAGTAAGCTCCAAGTTCCTACACCTCCCCCCCCCCCAGGAGGCTGGGAAATTCCTAATATAGAACTCTACTACATCACCAACCAAGTGCACCACATAACCCCCTACATCCTAGAGGACAAAATGAAACAATGGCTGCACATGGCAATAGACACAATCAGAAACACCCCCACCACAGTGTGCCCATTCTGTCGAAAAAAACTAAAGAAAATTCCCACAATGCTAAGCAGGTTCACACTTGAAGCACAGAAGGAAAAAGCAGGTGAACAGTCCAAACCCCATCCCCACTAATTCTCCTGACCCACCACGCAGCCCAAAGCTCCCGAACAGAAACTTGGCAAGCCAAAGGCTTATACTGCCACAACAATGGCAAACCCATACCAACACAAGAAGTATAAGATAAAACTAGGGGACACCCAAATACTCTGGCTGACTCATCACCAACAACACATCGTCTTCAATAACCCAGTAATCAAAGCAGCAGCCACTAGGCCTCTGACCACCTTTGAGAAACTTCTGTTGGCAAGAGAGGGACACAGCAAGGTGATGGTATACACAATATACAAAATACTATTCCAAGACCCGACAAAATCCCTCACCAAAATCAAAGACTAATGGGAACATGGTATAGGTTGCAAAATCCTACCCAATGGTCTAAACCACTCTTTATAAATGGTACCTAACACCTCGGAAGCTGGTGCTGATACGCCAAGGAACCTCAAATAAATGCTGGAGAGATTGTATCACTACAGGCAAATACCTCCATGTGTGATGGGAATGCCCCCAAATCCAAACCTTTTGGACATCAAGTCCCACAAGAAACCTGGAAAATAACAAAACCGGTACTAGAAGCAACTCTAGAACTGGCCCTATTAAACTTCTTCCAAGGCAACAATGCACACTCACATTACGAAGAACTCATAAGCCACTTACTCTCAGCAGCTAGGAGTGTCATAACTAGACACTGGTGGGATCTGTCAGGAGTGAACATGGACCACTGGAACCAAACTGTTTAGCTTTTCTAGTAGGGCAGTTTCCCAATCAACAAACTGACACTAACACGGGGACAAACAAAAGAAGATGCTTTCACCTCGGTATGGCCCCCTTTTATTACATATACAGCCCAGCAAGACAACATAAACCCCCCAATAGCATACAAATTAATATGGCTAACTTCACTGAACAACCCCTTACAACCTCACACACACAAGCAAAACTCACTGCAATCAACTGAATGCAACCAACCATGCTCTGGGCTCTGCAACCTCTCACACTGCCAAAACACACTAAGCAAAAGAACGAGATCATTCCCCCCTCCTCTCTCCCTCCCTCCAATTCATTCTCCCCCCCTCCCCCCCGCAACCTCACAATATGTATTACAATAGTGTCTTACACTGAATGTAACTGACCTATATAAAGGACTCTTAGGAACTGAGAACAGAACCGTATGTACCCTTGTTGTCTATGAAAATCCTTCAATAAAGACAATTTTTTTTAAAAAGCCTCAGTAAATGGAACACAGTGCTATCATATGACTTCTACACACCAACTTGAGTTCATAGCATTTAGACAAGCTCTAAAGCCACAGCTTGCCAGAAAAACTATGCCTCTGAAAACAGCAGACAGACCTAAACAGTCAATGTGAGATGTTTAACAGTAAGTACCATACATTTCAATTTGAAGCTACATGTTATATAAGGTCCTTTAGAAAGGAAGTGGTGGAATAAATCAAATTTAATCATAGAACTCCTTATGGATGACTAAGAAGGGTCTCTGGCTACCTAGAGAATTTCAAAAGGTGTTGCTTTTACTTTTTATTTACTTTTGCACACATTGTGCTTCTATTAGGAACATGATGGAAACTAGAGCCACAAATCCCATCTAGAAATGCTTGGATAGCAGTACAGCCACCAATGTAAAAATCTGCTCCCAGGTGTTTAGAAAAAAACCCAAGAATTACATGTACATCATATTTTTGTTCCCCACCATCACCTTCCACTTGTCTGTGGTACAGTGGCAATTTTTGGGGGTGTGACCAATACGGAGCAGTTGTTGTCAGTATTCCTACCTCCAGCAACAGTGAATTACTATCACAAGAGTACTGCCATCTAAACAAGGTGTCTCAATAAATTAGTAAACATGGACTTCAATAGTTACATTCAAGCAGAGCAATCTAAACCCCTGATCTGCTGTACTGAAGGGAGTGTGGATGAAACAGAGGTGACCTACCTGCATTTCCCAAATGATGAGACTGCACTATGTCTACTTGGATGTAAGCCCCAGAAAGTTCAATAGAGCCTGCTCTCAGGTAAGTGTGTAGTCTAGGATTGCAGGCTGACACTCAAATTGAGACCTAGATCACCAATATAACAAATGAAGAGCCAAAAGTTGTCAAACTTCTTTCAGCTACAATACAGTGCAACCATAAAACATTTGTACTGAATAGCAAAATATTTCCAGTTATCTGCACATTTCACCACTAGCAAATAAGGAGGGCAGAATGCTTACTTGCTCATTGCTCTTATGCAGGTCAACAACTAGAAAGAAAATGAAGATTAGTTCATAAGGCAATACCAACCCATTAGTAGGAAGAGAGAAAGAGGATGTGCAGAACAAAATGCTTACGTACCTTATCCATCTTTCACTACTCCTTTTGATGCTTGAAATAGATGCACTGCGTTCACACTGCAGCAGGAAAATACTAACTTGGTCTACAATTTAGGGCAAAACTACACATTACACCTAGCTGGGTGCAATTTTTATTTTTCAGTGGGAAGAAGCCTCGGGACACAAAATTTAAAGGAAGAAATGGCAATATTACAGAAAATGTTTCCCTGCTAAAAAGTTGGGTTTTTTTCCATCAGCAGGAGTAGGGAGGGAGATTTGAAGCAGGAAAATAGCTGACGGAAAAGAGTTAAGCAGCCTTCCTTGTCCCACGACTTCCCCACTTAACATTTAGCCCACATGTCATTTAAAAAGAAAAAAAGCATCAGGGCAGTTGTTTATAATGTCTGGTTGGGCACTTAGGCCATGCACAGAAATTTTTGGTAGATGCTATGATGAATCCCCATTTGCTTTTGTGATACCAGGCCCAATACAGGAAGAGTAACCTTATAACCGTACAAACTATTGTGGAGTGGGGAATCTCAATGTAGGGGGAGAGGGGCTAAATGTTAATTGCAGTCACTTTCTCATAGCCCATTTAATAGAGACATTAAATTAAAAAATAAACATAAAATGGTGGGATTGTGCTCTGTGGGAGTGGATATCCACGCACCACTGTTTTTCAACACCTGCTTATAGTTTATATCATAGGTAGGTGAGATAACAACAGAACGATTGGCCTGAAATCTTTTTTTCTTTTAAAAAAAGGTTTATATATTGATACAATTAAAATAGTTTTGTAGAATCAATTCAAATTCATGTCATTTTAGAAAAATCATCCATTTCCAATGAAAATATTGTACAATATTATACATAAACTCAAAGCTTACAAACCATAATAACTACAGCAATAAATATGGAATCAGGGGTCCTAGAATTCCAAAGTACAGGCTGTTCATTAATTGCTTCTTCATTCCTGGAAATCCAGCATCCATAATAAAAAGGCCCACTTTATTTAAATTATTTGTAGACCAGGTGAGTATTTCTTTCATGTATTTAGTTCCTTTAAATAGATTGCAATGGTTTGTGATATACTTAGGAAACTGGCAATCCCTTTAAGTGTTTCGTGAAATCGAGGGCTCCTTGTGGAACTGGCCTTCCAAAATAAACCTTAAACAATTCATTCAAGTCTTCATTCAGAAATGATGCCTCCTGTGAAAATTTACCCTGAAATGAACAAGTGTTACAGTTTTATGAAGTAAAATCAAAACGTTGCATTATCAATCATCGTGTGTGATTTAAGAAGAGAATGGTGCAAGGCGGTACCTTTTTCCTGGGTGCCACTGACGCAACACGAGGATTAAAAGTCATTCCTTTCATACTGTAGGCCTCAAAAAGTTCTGTAGGCAACCTATGATGGATACAGGTTTCATTTTAATATATTATTTGCAAAAAAAATATTGTGTCTTAAAGCAAGACTGGGGAAAAACCAAAGACCCTAAATGTTAGTATTTGTGTTGGAGAGTTGAACAGCCCTGCAAAGCACCTTTAAAATATGTCAAAAATTGAGGCAAACAAAGAAATGAACACACACACACACACACACAAAACACTGAACAGAATAATGGAGCAAGACTGAAGTCTTCTTCTGCATGCAGACATTTCCCTCCTTTCCCATCACTGATACTGGAATCCAGGATTATTGTATAAAACGCTTGACAGTGAACATTACACAGCTACATTTTAAAAAAAATCTGCTCCTTTATTTCACATTCAAGCTAATATTAAACAGTAGTAATGTACTTTCCACTCAGAAAAAGAACTCGGTAACTGGATCCATCTACCGTGACAATTAGCCATGGTAGCTAAGTACTGCTTCCAGGTTCAGGGGCAACTGGCCACTGAATACCAGTTGCTGGGGTAAGAGCTACTGTGCACACCCCATGAGCATCTGACTGGGCACAGAGAGAAAAAGGTAATAGATTTTGTCCCATCCTTGTCAGGGGGAAAAGCAGATCCCTCCAGGGAGAAGGACTGCAGCTTCCACTCTTCAGCTGAGGAGTGAAGATTTCAATCCTGCTGCATGCTCACCCCACAGCTCAACAAGCTCAACAGCAAGACCTATCAGCCATGACCTCATCATCATGACCTCAGACAACTGATGAGTAGCTGGCGCTTCCCCCTGTCAAAGTTGGCCCACAGGGTGTGAGGTGGAGATAAAGATCTGGCCCACCAGGTCAAAAACTTCCCCCACCTCTGTATACATACGTAAGCTGCTGAGTCTCTGGTTCTATACCAGAAAAGACTGCAGGGTTTTCTCCGCTAAACTTCATTCATATAATTTATGAATTGCTTCCTGTGAAGCATTCCAAAGCAATATAACGATAAAAACAATTTCAAGTTTTATGCAGATACAGAGCAATACAAAATTCTTCACTCAGAAGCTTTGTGGGAAAAGGAAGGTCTTCAGCAGGCACCGAAAAGATAATAGACAGGGGCTGTGTGACACATTACGAGAGGGAGCTCTAAGGAAGATGTACCAGCACACTGAAAGCCTGGCTCCTAAATTGTTCTTTTGAATCTATGCACACTTTTTTTCAAAGCAAACACCTTTCTCTCACCTCCGACTAAATTCATGCCCAAGAGATTCTGATCCTTCTGCTGGGGCACCAGCCACAAGGTGAGCTGCAAATTTCTGAACGACTGGGTGATAATGTCTCTGGGGGTTAGGGAGAGAGCATTAATGAGAAATTGGGAATGTAAACTTTTCTATATTAATGTTGTGCATTTGACTATTTGAACAAAAGGTTATCATCAAAATTGTATTCTCTCAGCTTTAGGAACAAAAGCTCGATTGGTTAAACATCCCATGAGATGCAAGACAATTATGACGGGGTAATCTTAAGCCTTTTCCAAGAAGAGAGTTAAAGCATCTAGCAGTGGGGATCAATTAAGTGGAAAAGATGGGAAGATGCTGGGTGGTTCGCATGCACCACTGCTCATTACTTTTTCAGTAAATAAGATGAGGTAGGAAGAAGAAAAGTGCAAAGCAGAATGATGGAGCTAAACAGCCTAATTAAAAGAGTGAAAAGGCTTACTGAAGTTCAAAATCATATTCGCCACTGAAGAAAACTGATTAATTGCAATATAAAGATGCTGTAAACAGAATTAGAATACTCAAGAACATTCATTCCTGCAAATTCTGACTTTAAAAAAATGTATTCTGAACAGAGAAAGAGCTTCCTAGGTTACTAGTGTAGAATAAGGCAACAAGACATTAGCTTCCGTGACACTCACCCGCAGAGTATGCAGTTCCCACAGTGCTGTGTTCTGAGCATTACAGTACTCTGGTTCATCCAGCTCAGGAAGGTAAAGTCCACTCCCTTGAGATTCATTGTCTAGGAGAAGGTCTGTCTTTGGGAAAGTCTTGAATACCATCCAAGAAAAAGAAAAAGAAAAAAGAAGAGTCCCACGTGAAATAAAAGAATAATTACAAAGTTGTTACCATGTTTGCCTCAGAAAACAAAATTGCATCTCCCCAAAAAGATAACTACCGATGTAAGAAACTTAAGATCTCTGAATATGCATATGGCCTGATGGATCATGTTAAAAGTCTCTGCTTTCATGTAAAACAAAATGAACCAACTCTGGAGAACTCACGTCTGCTGTAATAATTTTCAAAACATGTTAAGAATATTTCACATGTGGACCATTTTGTTCATTGTGTTGGAAGGGGCATTTTATTTGCAGCCTACCTCAGGGTAGGCCGCAAGAAGAAGAAAAACCTATAAAAGTCAAATACAATTGCTGCCTTCTCACCTAATGCTAAAACCACAGTTTAGCATTAAATGGACGAGACTCCACCAGTCGAATCAAATGCAACTGGGAGCAGGACTTCTGCCAAACTGAGTATCAGTTTCAAACAAGTATTACATATGTGCTAGAGACCCTGGTTTAAAGCAATGGTTAGTTTAAAAAAGCCGGTTTCAAATAGCCCATTGTTTGAATTTGGCTTCTTAAGAAAACTAGCCACTGTTTGTTTTAAACCAAGGTTGTATGAAATGCAAAGTCAAGATTCTTTGAGAGCTAGGGAAGGGGTACAAGCCCAATGCTTCATTCTTGCTCAGCCACATGGGGGTAAATCATGATTTAGTGCAATATGTAAGAAATTCCAATTAACAACCAAACTATGTCATTTTAAGATCAGAATCCAAACACCATTTTCAAACTGCAGCAATTAAAATAACTGCATCTTAGTGGAAAAGCAATAATCAGCCTCACCACCCAAGTTCTTGAAATACTGCCATCAGCATACTGAACCAGCCAGTCATCAAGCCTACAGCTCCTGGAGCTATCCTTTATACAAAGTATCTATAACAGACACCCCTCAGACTGTTATAGGCCAACTCCAGTGAAAAGGTGACCCTGATTCTCTGAGTGACAGCTTGGGCCCAGCGGGTATTTCCCCTCTAAAAACTAAATCCAATGCAATGAAAGAGCTAAGATTTTGATGCCCATAGCAGAAAGAATAACTGAAGAAACAACAAGGCAGGAAAGCTGGAGAATTAGGGTTGCCATATTTCAAAAAGTAAAAACCAGGAAGACCACAACATTGTTGAGGTTTTTTTAAGGAAACCACTGAAATTGTTGAGATTGGTGGTGTTTTGTTTTGTTTTTTTGGAAAACCCAAAAGTTGTTGGGCTTTTTTTTTTTTTACAAAAACACCGCCTTTCAGACCCCCCCCCCCGATGTTAATTCCGCCTTTGAAATTCCAGTGATGTCCGGGAAAATCCAGACATATGGCAGCCCTAGGAGAATGCTGGAATGACTCCATCTCTTCTGACAAGAATGAAAACTTGGCTTGGCACAGCTAAAAGTTAAATGGAACGCTCTACGCTGGTGTGTGTCTGCACAAATGTGTGTGTAGATTTGTGAAGGTATGACATGTTCTAAATACGATGTAGGAGTTTCAACAGAATGAGTTTGAAACATCCAACAGTTTTAGATCCCAAGAGGACTATAGCTGAAGGGCCTCCTTAGCTATGTTTTTAAGAACTTACATGCATTAATGTTCTGTTGGTTGCCAAGATACCAATGCAGGAGTCTGGAAGGAGATGGAGGGCTACTGTGGAGAGGCGCTTTATGAAAGCAAGAGCTCTCTGCTGGGACACCTGCTTCCTACGCTTGGTGAGCATCACATCCAGGCACTGAAGCACTATCGCCACATCTTCATTTGTAGCACCTTAAAACAACATGTGTGGTTCAAAACCCATTTGAATGCAAGAACATATATCCAAAAGAACACCAGAAAGATTGAAGGCACCCGCTATTTCCCGATTCTATTTTTAATTTATTTAAGAAAGATTCACCAATTAAGAATCACACCAGCTATTTAGCAAAGAAAGAAACTCTACTGAACACCGCTGAAACCCACTGATGGGTTATTTCTGTAGAGAAAATACGAAGACATACAATTTCACTCCACCTACCACAGAAGTATATAAAAGACAGTACTTGCTTTGTTATCAGACCACCGTAGCCTGTGTTATTAAACAAGCTGCGCCACTTCAAATATCCAAAACCCATGAAAGAAATTCTCAATTCTCACTTAAGAAAATACCAACAATATTCAACACATTGAAATAAGGAGTTACCTGCATGAAGTTTAAGTAGTATCTTGTAAAGGTGTGTGTAGAACTTCAAAGGGTCAATGTTAAGGACATCACCTATCCAAAATAATTCCAGTTAAGTAGGTTTGTTGCTGTAACCATAAAACAACTTACTTCCTCAAATGGTGAGACGTTCAAAGGGAATACTTCAGAGCAGTTTTTCAAACTTGGGTCTCCCGCTGTTGTTGGACTATAACTCCCATCATCCCTGATCACTGGTCCTGCTAGTTAGGGTTGATGGGAGATGTACAGTGGTGCCTCGCAAGACGAATGCCTCGCAAGACGAAAAACGCGCAAGACGAAAGAGTTTTCCATTTTTTGAGTCGTTCCGCAAGACAAATTTCCCTATGGGCTTGCTTCGCAAGACGAAACGTCTTGCGAGTTCTTGCGAGTTTGTTTCCTTTTTCTTAAAGCCGCTAAGCCGTTAATAGCCGCTAAGCCGCTAATAGCCGTGCTTCGCAAGACGAAAAAACCGCAAGACAAAGAGACTCGCGGAATGGATTAATTTCATCTTGCGAGGCACCACTGTAGTCCAACAACAGCTGGAGACCCAAGTTTGAAAAACACTGCTCTGGGGTTTAGTTTCCTCTGGAGCTAAGTGCATGCTGGAGACTGGTTGAACCTGTGCAATATATTGCTTTAGTTACAAATATACAGTCTCAATTGGAATAATTCATTTTCCTTAAAACAAACAGTTAACATTGATCCTGGTTCAGAGCCAAAACAAAAAGTGTCTTCTCACTGTCTCTCCAGTCCTTCCTCAAAGTCTATCACATTCCCCTGGATGGAACTTTTTGTTAAATCTTTGACCACTCAAGCCCATCAGACAAACCTAGCAATGGTCCCATTCAGGCTAATCACAAAAGAAATGCAATATGAAAATTAAACTGTACCTTGACCAGACAAAATTTGGAAAGCAGAAAGAATACAGTGCAGACTCTCTCTGTGGCTTAACACCTGAAAATAAAGGAAATGCATCAGAAAGATATAGACCAAAAGTCTTATATCTCTTTAGACAAAGGATAAACTTACCCCTGAGACCATAAGAGAATGTAGAACAAGCAAAAGGTCATCAAAAAATTCCAAATTTATGAGGTGGGCGAACCTAAAATCAAGGAGTTAGATTTGTGAATTTACAGAAGATTTATCTGTCAAACTCAAAGCATGCCATTGCAATTATAGTTTGTTTTATAGTGCAACTATCTTAAGCAACATTCTTAAGTAGTCTTCTCTTTTGCAGTATGATCATTAATCACATACTACTTGTAATCCAAAAAAAGAACAGCATTCCTCCATCTGCCAGCTATCATTTTGAAAACAAAACAGGATGCTATACAAGCAACACATGAAACAGATGAAATACATACCAAACTTTTTAGCAATGTTATTCTAGAACTGCATTAAATTTCAATTGCTTTTATTCTTCCTATTTTCTTCTACCCTGATTTTTATTTAATTTTTCTGAGTAATTTTAAGTGAAGTGTTTAAACAAATTTAAGCACTGGGTTGCTTTAACTAAGTTCTACCCAGGCCCACTGAAATTAGTGGACATGATCAATTTAGCTCCATTAATTGCAATGAGCCTACTTCAGTAAAACCTACTAAAATACAGGCCATTATTTTCACACTTTTCAATGAAAGTTTTTATGTTGATATAATGTGCCTTGTTAGGAACTTTTATAAAGAATGGTCACTCAAAAATTTCTTTGAAATTCTTACTTTGCAAGGCCTTCCAACACAGCAGGCAAAAGGGGAGACTTCTGTGCTTTTTTCAGTATTCGGAAGTAAGTTAAAAATACAATATTCAAGGTTTCTGTGTGCTGTAGAGAAAAGACACCCACAAATGAACACATATGGAACATTCCGAGTTCACCGTATTTAAGTTCTGTTCACACTTGTCTGGATTTGAAAGCCATTAATCAAAAACCACTTAAAATTTTCTAGGATTACTTAACTGCTAACAAGATCAGTTCCTAATTACTGGTTTACATCATTAGGAATCATAGCAGGGATAGCTATGGATAGACACCACTATTGTAATACATAATGCCCTAAACCAGTAATTATTGAATTGCAAGGAAAAAACAGACCCCCTAGTCTGTTATTGCACTATTTATAGTCCCTCAACTATTGTGCTGAGCAAAAACAACTACTAATAATAAAAATTAACCACAATGAGGGATAAATCCGTGCTTATAGTATCAGTCTTTGTGTTTACTGTGCATACAGCCCACCCACATTTTATGACTAGAAACTCATTTCTAAGGAACTACAGAACCAAAGCAAGAATTTGAAACAAATATTACAATTGGCAATATCTGGTCTTATTTTACTTGTGCATAATACAAAACTCAGCAGTACACCACACTCATGAAAATATACTTACCAGTTTCAGTTTTTTCTCTGTGCTCTCTGATGCTTCTGCTTCTAAGAGTTCTCTTTCTAGTTTCTCTTCTGCTTTCTTCCACTGAAAATGTACAAGGTTTTTTGTAAGAAAACACAAGATTCTGGCAGCATTAAGGTAATTACTTTGCAGTTGTTGGGTCAGTTTAGATGTAATGTCTCTGATCAGGAACATGCCACATGCTCCTTCCTCCTCTTATGGACTATGAGTGGTCAGATAGTTACTTCTTCCTGGTACAGGCAACCTAATTGGCTTTTCATCAAATGCTTGCTCTCCAAACCAGAACTGCAAATTTGGATTGGAAACACAGGCCATGTTTGAAAAACTTCTAAACCATTGTTAGTTCCTAAAGAAGCTGGCTTGTTTAGAACCTAACCCATAGCTGTCAACTTTTCCCTTTTCTTGCGAGGAATCCTATTTGGAATAAGGGAATTTCCCTTTAAAAAAGGAAAATGTTGACAGCTATGACCTAACCTCTGATTTATACACAATGCTAAGTAGAGACTGACGAAAACACAACCGAAACCATTATCCCAGATATGTGGGAAGAAGTGATGTGAGTGCATGAGCCCAATGCTTTGCTCTGTCTCATGGAGGTTTGCCCATGTAGCCCTAAACCATGATTCTGATTATATGTGAACTGACCATGATGTTTAAAGCAACATGAGAAACAGGGGTGGGACTATTTTCAGCTGTACTAAAAGCCTCTCAGCAGCAAAAGCAGGATGAGATCACTTTAACAAAAAATCTTCCCATACATAACCAGTAAGAAACAATCTGCAGAACTGTGTTTTGCAGTGTTCACATGGCCACAAAATGAAAGTCCTGAGACATGAACCCAAGAGCTAATTTAGGGGCACCCAAGAATTTCAGCAAGCTCAGCTGAGATTTATTGTTTTACACTTTCTCTCAAACAGCAGTTGCTTCCTCGCCAAATCATAATATGGTTTCAAAAGGAGGACATCATGAGGAAGTGTTGTTTCAAAATCTCCTTGGGCAATGGAACTCACTGGTTAGTTATTTGGATACAAGCCAGAAACCGTTCCATTTTCTAATGAAATTCAAATTATATGTGTACACTACAGCATAAGAAGTACCTTTCTTTGCATCCTTGACAGATTTTTCCGTTTCTCTTGATAAGACATGAACCTCTTCTTTGGTGTGATGTCTTCTGCATCTTTTTTCACTTCTACTTCCTTAATTCTTAGGTGAATTAGTGTCATTAGCACCTAAAGATAATCCAGTAACATTTATTTCTCAAATTCATTAAAAGCACAGATCTTACAAAACATAAAACTGCCTGAGACCATTGCTTTCTCTTTTATATACATGTGCATAAATGCCATCCTTGCCAACAACTCATGAAGAATGGCAAGAGTAACGTTCGGGAGACAATTGGTGTGGTTTTTGTTTGTGATATGCCACAGTACTTCAACAAGGATAGTAAATATTTAAAGTCCATTTTTAACTATTGCTCCACACTGGAGAGGAGGGAAGGAACTTACCTCAGGTCTAACATCATAATTCCTGCTTTTCACAAGGCCAGAAATCACCTTCACCACACCAAGTGAGGCATAGCCAAGTTTATCCTGCTTGAAGAGGGTCTTTACTGCACCACAGCACATTTCAGAAATCTGGAAAGTTGGAAGTTTCAATTATCATGTTTATTCAACCAGCACTGCTTTCTGGATGAAAAAATGTAAAATGCCATGAACAAAGATTTTTACCCTTCCAGAATGTGATTCATATTTACTTTGAAATGACATGCAATATTTCAATATACTAGTAAATGCTGCTGTCATGACTATGAGGTATGCCTACCTGTTTTGAAGCATCGTTCATGAGTGGCACGATGAGTACAATAATATTATTGTGGAAGTTGAAGTGAGGCAGGGCCACCAACAGCTCACACAAGCACTTCACAGCAATCTCTGCAAGGCCTTTGTATGCTTTTAGTGAAATCACATTGCTTTTCTTCAGCTTCCTTTGCTTCCAATCTAAGTGAAATATTGCATAAAAGCCTGAGTATTTTGCCATCCCAGCTTCTGAAATTACTACTATTATTTCCAGGTGGGGGAAAAAATATATTACTTGCATATTTCCTGCCACAATGACACATAGGGGTTAAAATGAAAACACACACACAATGCCATATCCTTTTAAAAAAAAAATACTACGAAAAATACTTTCCTAGCCCTGCAACTTAGGATCAAGAGTTGAGATTCTAGGGTTTAAATCAGGGATCTTCTCCATGCTTTGTGTTAGGGATACTACCAATAGCTGCTTATTTCCAACAACAAAATAATTTTAGCGCTCAACATTTAAGAGCATATCCCCATCCTCAGCCATCCACCCTGCCTGCTGTACCTTTCACAGATTGCTCCAGATTTTCTAAATAAAACTTGTACTGGCTGACAATGCCTTCTTCAAATTCTCTTAATTTCTGAGTTTCTTTTCTAACCTGTGGATAAACAAAGAAACAATGTAAAATATCTTGCCATAAATCTACTGTGTGACAACTGCAACACATTTTTTTTTAAGTTTCAGAAGATGTCACCCTCTGCAGTATGTATTTTGAAGTCTTTTCAAGAAGTATTTGGGGAAATTTGTTACCCAACAGTTTTGCGAGAAAGGTGTACTCTTCATTTTTGGTACCCCAAATGCCAACATTTCAACAACTAAGCTTAAAAATTGAGGGCTATTTTTAAGGAAAGAAATAATTTCATAGATAAAAATACTTAATTTCTTCCTCCATACATATAACAAGTTGTCTTACCCTCCCAACTTGACATTAAGCTACTCTGAAACATATTATAACCTCACCTTTGTGTTTTTCTCTTTCTCAGTTAAAGGTCTGATTTTGTAAGATGGAGTAATGTCTTTGAAAAGCTCCATCAGAGAAATCATCACCAGCTTTCGCACAATCACGGCCACATTGGGATCCTGTTCCATTAACATTGCACGCAACTCTTTCAGCTTCTTTATCTGCTCAAGCAAGGATGACATAACCATGAAATATAATTGACAACTACAGGTAAACCAGACAAAATTTATGCATATACTGTCATTGTAACGTGAGGAGCAACAACTACTGCCATCTTCAGAGAACATGCACACAGAATTCAAGATTGCAACATATTCTAGATATTCATATGGTGCAAAATATTTTAGTAACACTTTATCTTTATGCCATCAATTTCTGTGATGTCACCCATTTTTCAAATGAAGCTTTAATGGATTTGTATCAGTGAGGAGGTTCTAGGTTTTCCAAAAACTGAGGTCATGCCCCCACTGATTTTTGTTTTAGTTTGTGCGCTGGGGTTTAGTTTAACCAAACAACTACACCTTCTGAGACAATATGAAAACTGCCAGATCACATCAAGTCTACTTCCCAATGTACCCTGGAAAGAATAAAAGACAGTCTCACAATTGGCAAGGACCAGTTTGTTTTCATCAGCAATCACAAAAGCAGTAATCACAGCGGCTACATTTCAAATGGAAAATACCTGGAACCCACGGGCTCTTCCTGTCTCTCTAAGCCTTTCAGTTTGCAGTTTCACACTGCCAACTGTTTCACGTCAGGGTATGAAAGCAGTTTTAATCTCCCCCCCCCAGAGATATTTTTTTTCTTTTTTGTGACAAGTCAAATTCTTAAATTGAAGCACTGCCTGTGAAGCAGTTACAGAACATTGCTTTTAGGGAACAACTTCTCAAAAGGATGGCAAAAACATTGAGAGGAAAAAATAAAAGCAAGGTTAATGGTATTCATTTAATTCCATGCATAAAACTGTTTCAACAGCATCCAAGAAAAATACTGTAAAAGGAGCCTAAAGGAAAGGAAACTATCCCTTCCAATCCAGAAGGCAATCACACAAAATCTGTGAGATGAGAGCATGAACAACAGCACATAACCCGTGAGACCTCACTGTGCCAAGCCATTAAAAGCCAACATTTCTTTCCACACTAAATATGATGCATCTGAATCTTTGGCATGTAAAACTCATTTTCTTACTTTTTTTATGGCATGGCCGGTTTCAACTCAACTGAAATGTTACTTACATTATTTTCTGGGTCAGACAAGATGGCAGATGCTAAGGCAGCTATGTGCATCTTTTTCTCTTGTAGCTTCTTTTTCCTATGAACTAGCAGTTCTTCAGCAGTGAGAACAGGTAATGGTTCATCAAGAGCTGGTGATAAAGAAAAATGCTGTTCATGTCTTAGAGCAGGCTTCCCTAACCTTGGCCCTCCAGATGTTTTGAGATTACAATTCCCATCATCCCTGACCAGTGGTCCTGCTAGCTAGGGATCACGGGAGTTGTAGGCCAAAAACATCTGGAGGGCCGAGGTTGAGGAAGCCTGTCTTAGAGCGTATGTGTGCACACGTGTGCCTCCACACCAGAGCTGGAAAGGACATTTGAAATGGAGACTAGAAACTTCTGTTGGCATTCTCATCAGCCCCTGGTCAAACCTTTATTCAGGTAAACGGACCTTTTAGGAGTTGGTTGGGTTTTTCAGGGGGTGGCATTCAATTGTATTCAGCCAAGACTTTCAAATAATAGTTTAGGTTTCCATTCTCCTTTGTGAGCTACCCTAGTCAGGTTTCTCTTCAATTTAGGTTGACTTCGTAAATGCAACATCTGGAAACACTTTAAGAGCAATTCATTTCTTTGGCAGTATTATACTTATTTTACTTGATCTATCCAGTAACTCAGCAATGAGGACAAACCACAAAATGTTCTCTGAACCAATGAAGTAATTTACACTAATATGCTTCAAGAACAGTAACACCATTTGAATGTCTATTAATATTTAATCTGTACAAAATCTTTTTTTAATAAGTCTTAAATACCTTGTGCCTCTTCCATTTCTTCTATTTCATCCTTCTCCTCCTCTTCCTCTTCCTCTTTAACTACAAGAAAGAGCAAGCTCTTTAAAAATTCAGCATTGCGAACGATCCAGTTCTTAAATCAAACTGACAGCTCGCCTGGCAATCTTGATTGTGCCTCACCTGGCTTTTCCATGGTCTGTGGAATAATTCCACGTTTGTCTTTGATGGGAAGCAGATGAATAAGTTCTTTTTCAGGCTCAGTCTGCATGCGCCTTGGCTTCTTCTCATATTTCTCAATCACACTCTCATTCTTACGTTTCTTGGCATGAACAGGTTCACTATAAAGTGAAAGACTTGTCAGACTCTCATATGGATAACTTATAACTTACATTTAAAAATACTATTTTCACAAACAGAACTGCAAAGGAATGGTTACACTGAAAACACACATACAATTTTCTCTATGGTGCCATTTAATTAGACTTTTAAAAAAGATTAAACTGGTCAAACTATCTGCCATTGAAGGCTTTTCCAAATGGGGTTTACCAATGGGGACAAATGAAATTGTCACTATCCAGACCCTTCTGCCTTAGTAAGTGCTTCCATTACATTACATTTTCTACAAACAGCTAGCCCAAGCTAATGCCAAGCAGATTCTTTTCACAGCAAGTATAACTACAGCAGGTGCTTAACTGTGGGGTTTGTGAGTCCATGAATGTCACAGGTGCCCTGAACTTTAAAGAGCAGTGGAATTCTTCTGCAAACTACCCATGCTACTGTGAATGTACCATCAAACTTCTGCCTTTGTCCCTTCCTCCCACCCATATGGAATCTGTGAAATCATTCTCTGCAACACTTGAGCACATACTTCTGACTTTTCTTTTTTTTTAAAAAAAAACTTATTCTTATTACACAGAGAAGGGGATATTGCTTGGAATAGTAAAACACTCAAGCAGAAAAGACTTAGTCATGCTGGAAAAAGGCCTATTCTGTTAAGGCCTTTTGTATTAAAGGTCTGATTCTACATACTCTCAACGAACAAATAAGACAACAGAAGTGCTGCAACGTCCGCTATTCCCTACTTTGCAAACACCTACTTGGAAGAAAGATCTCGTGTAATAAAAGATGCCCTCTGAGCAAGTTCCTCCATTAATTTCATATCATCTTCATCCATCATATCAAGAGGAAGAGCTTCCTCCTCCTCTTCTTCCCTTTCTGCCAAGGCAAATAAAATCAGAATAACTTCAGAGGCACTGAGAGAGATACACACTACAAAAGGCAGATGGAAATACCTTTTACTTTGATTTTTCTTGAATGAGGGGCACAACTGCGGCACATTAGTTTAACGAGGGATGAGAATATAAAAGAACACTTGTGAGTAAACAGTTACCTTTGTACAGGGTGAGTCTTTTAAAAGAGGCCCTGTGGAACATGTGTACTGTACTCTGTATCCACGGGGCCTCTATTAAAGGACTCACCCTGTATGCAGAATCCAAATGTATTTTTCTACCTGTATATTGCTCTCTGTAGAGCTCATGTGTGCCTGGTAAAATGTTGGTTTCTAATCATGGCTTCCAGGTAAACTATACTTCAGCTGTTCAGCCAAAACTGCAAGCTATGGTTTGCCTCAAACCTGGGCCGGAGCCTGGGAGGGAATGGCCATGTTCAAGAAGGAGCATGATCTCAATGTTCATTCACAGAATGCCAAAGACTGATTTGGCATTACATCTTTGCTTTGAGATTTGGCATTACATCATTGCTTAGCTCCTGAGTGATCACTTAATCCTAAGACAATGTGGGCTTAGCCATTTCAGTTCTGTATCATCAAGGACACTATCCACTGCAATACTACCTCACTCCACATAGCATTTCCATATTCCCAAAGCAACAATATTTTGCAGTTTGAATACTGGAAAAGTACAGTCACTGAAACAGAAGCACACCTTGAGTAAAGACATCGGATTTCATACAATTAACTGAGCAACTCTCAATTATCATCACCATCATTTTTTATTTGTATACTGTCTTTCTATCTTACAATACTCAAGGTGGTTTACAAGCTGAAGAAACAAAAAATATACAACTTATATGCAATGCAATGCAAAAATGTGATAATACAACAAAACTTTAAAATAAGCAACCTACATCAAAAAGTAACATTCAACAATTATTAGAATAATATCAACATATAAAAGTTAAACAGAAATCCACTCAACAGTTACAATAAATAATTTATAAACTATAGTCAATAAAACAATGGCAAGCCACAGTACATAAAATAATACAATATAAACTGAGAAGCAGAGACTAGAGGGTGGGGTAAGGCAGGTGGAAGGAGGCCTTGCCTGATGAAGTCTCTCCCCCACTGTTCTTCCTCCAAGCACAGCTTCCTTATGAAGAATCCCAAGGCCAGGGGGTGGGGCAAGGCAGGTGGAAAGAGGCCTTGCCTGATGGAGTCTCTCTCCTCACTAAATTTTGTTGCACTAAAAATGGATTGCCTTGAAAAAAACTATATGAAGACTATCTTTACTCACTTTTAACCACTAATGTGATGACCCCAACTTTTAAACGAATAATTCAAAACATTACTCATAAGTGCTGTTATCTACCACAGGCCTTTTGAATTGGATGGGCTAGAAATTTGGGTAGAATTAAACGACTACTAGTCATAATACCTTGAAATGCCAAATACTGGAGGCAAAAAACAACAACAACCCAGAGAAGAGCTGGTTCCCATCATGCTCTATTTGTAGGTTACCAAGACGTACCCAGCTGTCCAGGTAGAAACAGAATTATGCACTAAATAAAAATATATACATTAAAGCACAATCCTATACATGTGTATTAAAATTAAGTCCCAATGGATTGACTCCCAATGTAAGTTAGTATAGAATTCCAGCCTTCTTATGGCCCAAGCTTTCGTGGACTCAAACCCATTTTTTTCAGATGCAATGGATGACCTGTTGTATCAGAATCCCTGTTACTTACATTTATTCTATGGGTAAGGGAGCTTCATTTTGAGAATCACTGCTCAAAAATATAATCAGTCCCTAGAATTAGTTATCAAAATCAAAACATTATGAGAAAATGCTCTAGTGGGGTGGGGAACACCGAAAGATGGTGCAACTGCTGTAGGCTGCATCCAGCCTATTAAATGCCAAGGTTTACTTCAATAACCTGTATTGCTCACATGCAAACTGCCTGATTTGAGATATGTCTAACATTTTACAATATTAAAAGCACTTCAATCACATAAAGGGTCACAATCTAAAAGGGGACCTCATATTCTGTGCCGTAGTGAAAACCTCTGAATACCATGGAAGCCTATTACTATTATGTCCACACCACACCACACACACACACACCAGTCTCACCTGGATGTTTTTTCTTGTTATCCTCCAAAGGCATTGGCTTCTTGGATACAGCATCTTTGACAGCTTGTCTGAGCTTCCTTTGTTCTTTTCGGTATTTCTTGGCAGTACTCTGCTGCTTGAACTGTTTGTTTTTTAACTTGTTGTCAAGTTTTATTTTACTTGTTTTCAACAGCTTGCGGAAGCTTGGAACCCGTTTTTTGCTTTTTCTCTGGAGGCGATAAGTGCTGAGTTAGTTGACCTTACACATCTATCCATAATATTCCTAAGACCTTTTTAACTTAAGCCTTATAACATTTAAGCAGCAGCATAAATGACGGCGAAGGTTTTCGAAATGCTCGAGATGGAAATATTAAGCTAACATCACACGGGAAAGAAGAATTGGGATAGATGGAAGACACGCTACTAGGAACGAGTTTGATTACGGCGCAATATCTACTTTTAAGAACGCAATTGATTGATTTGAATTAAGAGAAATATAGAAATAAAGGCTAAGGAAACCTAGAGTAAAAAGCCAAATTATGCAAGACGATTTGTAAAATGGGGGGGGGGGGGGAAATAAATGCTATCGCTGAAAATTCCAGTTTCCAAATCACACGCGCACCCCAGAGGAGCCACTATGCACACCGATAGGGTGCTGGACTACAACTCCCATCATTCCCTGCCAGCGTCAGCCAGCAGGCAGGGACGACGGGAGTTGTAGTCCAACAACATGTGAGGTGGAGAGGAGGGTTAACGTCGCTGTTAACGACGAGGCTGTTCTCGGCCGCGCTCCCTCCGCCAAGCCCGCCTGAACGAGCCGCTCCCGCGACGCCTCGCCATTTATCCCTCCGCTCCACCTCCTGCTGCCCAAGCGCCGACAAGCAACCCCGTCAGGGTATCCCGAGGCTTCCTTCCCCCACAGCCAAAGCAGCCGCCCGCCCCCCAAATCTCAACCCCCACCCCAATTCTCTCTCTCACCGGCTTCATGGCAGCGGAAAGCAAGCAAGGCGAACACGCTCGGCTTCGGAACAAACCGACACGCCTCAGCCACGCGAGGCACCGGAAGTGGCTCTCTCCGGGCAAAGAGAGGCCGGAAAAGCCATCAGGTCAGGCGGCTCAATCTTCCCCACAGCGACCTCTGTCGGAGAGGAGAAGGAAGGCAAAAGGCATCTCTTCCTGCAAGCCCAGCGCCGGGCAGCGACGACTCTCGCTTTCTCAGGGTTTTTTATGAGCCCACAGGAGCGCTTTGGTGGGCGCACAAAGGGGTGGGTTAGGCTGAAATGGGGCTCGGTCCCAGGATATATAGTCGCAGAGGGGAGAAGAGACATAAAATGAGACCAGGAGGAGCTTTCTGGGGTTTTTTGCTCAATTCTCATGCGTGGACCATCGCTGGTTCCTGGGTGAGCGGGGAGGGCAGCTTCTCTCTCTCTCTTCCTCTCTCTTCCCATCAAGTAAATAAATAAAAAATACTTAAGTAGAAATTGTAGAAAGATTTGGACAGATTTTTTTCCTGGGGTCAAAAGAAATTTAGAACAACTGTTGTCAAGACATTTCATTCTGAATCTGCTAGACAAGAGCCAGACTGAGGGTGATGACAGATGGGGTGCCTTGCCCCCCCCCCAGCCCCATACATAAATCCTGGCTACACCCATGACTGGTTCCCCCACTTAATCAAAACGGCAACATGACTGAGGAAAGGTCGGCATCATCGAGATGTACCTGCCTCTTCCCCGCCCCCCGCAAAGGCTCTGGTTTTGTGGGGACAGGCTTTAGGATGCCTAAACAAAACCAAATAAAAGTTAGGAAGAGATGAGGTTTAATGCCTCCTACCCCATCAGAGATTGTCCACTATCAAGCATTCTCAAATAGTGGCGGGCTTCATTTTTGTGCCTCTTAAACAGAAAAAGCTTCCCCCACCTGCCAAGAAATGGGACAAGGAGACTAGCGCCAGTGAACAAAGCAAAGTTTATTTTAGGAGATAGCAGTGCTGTCCAATCTAGTGTTCACCTACATTTGTCCAGACCTGTAGCCTGCCTGCTATTGCCTGATTGGCCCCGGTACAACATCTCACGCGTGGCATCAGAAACCCAAAGATTTGCACATGTACCGTAGTTTTAAAACACAAATTTCATTTAACCAAAGGTCTTGAATGCTTCCTTTTTCCCCATAGAAGGAAGGGGATATAAAATAGCAGAGGGTGAGGCGCTTGCATGGATCTTATGCAGAGTCATGTATAAATTCTATAGCAACAGTTTAAAGATTTAAAACAATTATAGCAAAATTACTTGCCTGGCATTTTCTAAGACTAGCAAAAACTGCTATAAGCAAGTACGTGGGTTTGATTCAGCTCAGCTCTCCGTGCCAATATTCTGAAAAAGTACATGCTAAACATTTAAGGGAGGTTTAGCCAGAAAGGGATATGTCAGAGTATTCTTCAGAATGCAATTACGTATTACTTCAACCCAGCATCACATAGCAGAAAGGTGGTTTCTAAATGCAGATGGCAACAAATGGAAAAAAAATCTTTAAATTGTTCTGTTCAGGTACCTATCACTGTTTTAAGCCTCAGCCTGCTTCAGGGGAGTCTGTGGCCTAAGTTTTCACAAGAACACCGCTTTGGAATTAATTCACAGGTCTTACACCTATCAGACCTGGCTCATCTCATGCAACTCACTCATGCAATGGGTGTACTTATCAAAAAACTTATCTCTCGGAGTCCTGACCTCAGTTCCAGCTCCAAAGGCATTTGCTGTAGCCCCCACAGCAGCAAAAGGGCCTTTCAACAGAACCACTCCATTTACACAAAACATCATAGAAAATCTATGAAAAAATGCTTTTATTGCATACCCCATGTCTTCCACACCGAGGCTTGCCTTATTCAAGAACCCCAAATCATGGTGCCGGCATTCTCGATGTATGCCTTGTCAAGGCGTCCAGACTCTGATAACCACGGGATAAAAAAAACGCAGAAATCAGTATTCTTTCCTAGTCTGTGTGAGGAATCTTGAAAAATCTGTTCATTTGTAATGATGCTATACATCTATCCTGATTTTTAAAAATTACACTTTACATTTGGTGCTGTAGGCAGCTGCCTTAGGTTTGTACCAAACTACCGTATTTAGGAACTAAATGGGACAGGTATTTGCATATGAAACAGGGATGGGTAAAAAAACCCTACGGTTTATGTCTGAGCTCTGCTTCTCTGGGTTCTGCTTCTTTGCCAAGACATTCCCTGGCACAGGGCCAGCTGTTTAGCCACTCTGTTTAAGAAAAAATAGTTTTGCACAGACTTGTTCCAAACTGAGTTAATGTTTGTGAGAAGGATTGTAATTCCCTGTGAAGTTTCAACCAATCATAACCTTTTACCGAGAACTCTATTTGTAGACTTTAAAATGTCACCCCTTAGAATCCCAGCTTCCATTATAGATGGGGTCATGATGTCTGAAATATAAATCTGTAGAAGCTACTGAAGATTCAGAAGTTTTCAATATAGCTTTGCATCTGAGCGGGAGAATTAAATGAAGAGACATCACTCATTCTGCTTACAAGTTTTATTTACATAGGAATAGTTACTAGTGGTCTTGAATGAAGGCAAAATACCTTCTATTTACAATTTATATACATGTGTATACTTGAAAAGTAAGAAAACTGTACAAGAGAACCCAAACAGAGGACATACACGGGAACCAAGTAAGTAAATACATAAGAAAAGAAAGACATTTTAACTTCAAATTGTATGTTGTAAGTAATATAAAGTGTAGTTTTAAATCTGATAACGATACATAAATATTCCAACATACTGTAACCCAAATCTTTAAAACCGGTTCTGCAACTTCTTTTAACACTTGACAGCTGAAGTAGTCTCTCTTTTCTTTCAATTTTTTAATGCAATGATAAATTTCCACTTCATTTCCACGTACAGGGACCAGGTACAAAAAAAAATCATAATGCATTTTTATTTACATTAATACTATCAAAATGGATTTAGAAAGAACAAGCATTAGCTGCTCAGAGTTTAAGAGGTATCCTTTCCATCTCCCTCCAGTTCAAATGTCATTTTTAAAATGTTTTGGAGTGTGAAGGAAGTTTAAGAGCTTCCATAGATCACATTTACAGTACAGTGCTGATGTTAGATGTGACTGACAGTATGGATTTAGGGTATTAATTATTGTACACACTGCAATTCAAAACTATTCCATTTTGCATTTAAGTGAGAAAGGTTTTAATATACAGGGACTCAAACTTTCACATTAACATTGCTTAAAATGTGCAAAAGCATTTGTCACTAGCTTATTAATTATACTAGTGTTTATCATCAAGTATAAGTCACTTTGATTTAAAAAATAAATCAAGAACTGATCTGATTTTCGTGGAATAGGAATCCAATTTTTCTGTAATGTAAGCAAGCTACCTACCAAGTACTTCAGGAAGCAAAATTCCAGAAACCCATCAGCTGCTTATACAAGCACACAGTTAAAATAGTTCTCTTAACCACTGCCATCTTTAGGCCAAAAGACTTTTTGCCAATGACTTTGCGGCAAGACTTGACGCAGCATACTCTGTTCCACCTTACGTACATTCATTTAACCGAAGAGTGAAGCTGCAGTTTAAAAGGAGTTTAGCAAGACATATATAAAGCCTCCTATTATCTGGCATGTATACCAAAGCAAAAAAACTTATTTGGTCCTAAGAATTTCACTGGTTAATTTTGGAGGTATTTGTACCAAAATGTTTGGTTCAGGTAGCAGTTTTTGGGCCTTACTTTTTAAACGCCTGCTTTCCTCCCAAAAGTGCCTTTGTGATCATCATAAAAAAGGTATCCCTAAAAATTTAAAGTACCAACAAAAGTTATTACAAATTTTTATTGCATTCAACTTTAAATATTAAATATGCATTAGCCACTTTCTCAGTTTCATAAGTTTTTATTGTTTTGCTTCCTGTGAAAAGGGCTCCTCCCACAAAAAGCTCTTTAATACTGGCAACAGGGTGAACATTTCATCAAATTCCACCACTGTACTCAGTCAAATACTGTCTCTTCCTTAGGTCTTCCCAAGCTGTTTCTTCTTAGTGGTTTTCATTGATAAGATGTTTAGAATCCTTTAACAAGCAAGTGGTTTCTTTATTATTTCCAATAAACTTGAAATTAACTTTTTAGTGCTGGACTATGGTTCTTGTCTCCTTCTTTGCTATCCTTCATTAATGATGCAAACACCTGCAAATTGATTTTTAGGTAAGTGTTAAAAATCAGACACTATTCAATCTCTCATTAACTTTTATCAATACTGATTCCTCATTACAGGTTCTTTGCATCCATCATAATCACTGAAGATTATTTCATTCCCACTCCATCTCTTTCCCCCCGAGTAACCCAATATACAAAGTATCAATCCCCAAGTAATTAATAGAAAATAGGGAACGAAAAAGCACCATGACTCTTGAAAATGGTCTGCCTTAGAATCACATGAAGCCCTTCTTTCTGCTCTCCAGTCAACAAGGGTTATCCACAATTTAAAACAACACAGCTAATTTTCCATTTAGGGTTTAATATGGAAAGATACACTGTTCATTTTACACCACCTGCTCTTTTGGGACTCCTGTAGAGCAGGAGGCACACAAAGAAGGGCCTTAGATGATGATTGCGGGGTCAAGAATTTACAACAGAAATATTGCTGCACACTGTAGCTGTGTAGTAGTTCGCCATGGGGTTAAAATATAAATGCTTTGAGTTTAAGGAAGTGTAGCTAAAGGTATTTCCCATTTAATAAGAGTTCAGTACACCACCCATGAAGTAGCAGAACACTGCAGGGGCCTTGAATGGTTTCTCTCATCATGACAGCATGCCCCACCCCCTCCTGAAAATGACAGGTAGGCAAGTTGTACTGCCTCCCCATGCAGACACAGCACATCTTGCAGGAACACACCAGGGCCCTCATGAGACCTTCCCAGAACCTGCTAAGCAAGGTGGGAGATTTTCAAGCCCTCTACCTTGCTTACCAGCCTCTGGTAAGACCCTGCAAGGATCCCGAGATCTTGCGTGGGAGGCAAGGCCTACTCAGCACACCGGCTTTGGACAGATAGAGGATGGGGGGGTGTCCTGTTCCAGGGGCATTCCTGATTTTATGTGATTTTGCCTTTGCACACAGATCCCCAGAGCCTATCTCCCATGTAAGCTGTGTGCTTACTGTATTTCTGCCGATGGTTTAATATTGTTTTATGTGTGTGTGTATATATATATAGAGAGAGAGAGAGAAAGTATGTTCATATATTTTAATTGTTTACTGCGTTTATTCTCGCTAAGCTGTCCTAGGCAACGTGTTTTTGAGGGCAGAAAATCAACAGTTAACGTGACCCAATTTATTTATAATAAAAATGAACACTTACCTGAGCCCATTTTTTGTTACTATTCTGCATCTGAATAGATGTAATACAAGTAAAGAGCTTCTCCGACGTGATGTCTTCAGGTAGCTTTGTTAGAAACTGTGCTATATGAATGAAGTCCATCTGCAGGAGGATATCTTCATATAGCCGAAGAATTCCTAATCCAGTTCTGAACAAAAATTCTTCTCCGTCTCTACAAAAGACATCCCAGACGCGACAGGCCAGATCAAGGGGTAGTGACTTGCTGTACAGGGTGAAGATCCTGGGGGGTGGGGTTTATTTTTTTGGGAAATCAGAAGTATCAGGAACATGAGGACAAACTACATGCCATCAATTTTGTGCTGTGAACTTTGAGCTCCTCCACTGTCAGTGGTATTTTATTTAGAAGTCCATTAATACTTTGGATTTGGGAAAGACACACCAATAGGTATCCCACTCACAGAAGCTGACTCTGCAAATCTTCCCTGATCTTTTCCCTCCCAATCCACTGCAGTCTCCCGTACCAGGCTTTTCCTGGCTGAGGGAGCATGGTACAAGAAGCAGCAAGAGAGAAGGAGGAGTGGGAAAGCTATATTGCATGAGCAGACATTCACTAGCGTACGTTTGTTTAGACACCAACAATCACAGCTAGATGGGAATTATGTTCCCAACTTGCCCCGACAACTGCTCACCCCGCCCCCCTCAACCACACAGAATGGAGAAATTTCTACAGAGTGTCCATTATCTGTATTATCAAACTTCAGCTGCAAGTTTATCTGTTTGACACAGAAAGCAAAACAGAACCTATTCAACCAATCTTCCAACTTACCAGTCTATCAAGTATATGTCAGGGGTAAGTTTGTAGGATTTAAAATGATGAAACAATTTGGGGAGGTTTTCCTCAAAAAATACTTCAAATGCTGCAAAGTACTTCAGCATCTGTAAAGAAAAAAGAGAAAAAAGCTAATGAAAGTCTGGTTGGGGACGACAACGCATGGGGTGCCATAACTAATTAAGCCTTCAAGGAAGCTATACCCCTGTCTACAGGACATATTCTGCTGGTTTTAGTGAAGAAAGTGCAGCGTACATCATTTAAATAGTAAAACTTCCAGTCCAGTTGCTATGACAACTGTAGTATCTGTACTTCTCCAGCAACAAATTTAGCCAACTACACTTACAGTGTAGACAGCAGAAAAATGAGTTAGTCACTTTTTCATTGCTATCTTTCCATCCTGGCAAAAGCAAGAGATTGGCTGTAGGGTAGTCATTAGCCCATTGTTTCCAGAAAATGAATTATAGGAGAGGAAGCTACAAGAACAGAATTCTGAAAAGGGGTGGTAAATTTTAACAAAAGAAATAGTTGCCGATTTCATTCCAGAGACACAAGTACCCCTGCTAGTTGCAAGTATGAATGCAAAGCACTGTTCTTTAGGAAAGCAGAAATTCTACTGGGTGTAGACTGATACCCATTTCCTGCCTGTTAAAAAGACTCTAGTAGTCACAAAATGGTTCAAGTGAAATAGTAACAGTAAGTTACGAGACACTGGAAATTGTATATATACCATGCTGTGATCCACACGGAAAAAGGCCAATTGGCATGGCTTGTTCAGGAGGTTTGCAAAGGCAATGAACGCATCTGCCTCTTCCAGATTGAGAATAAGGACTGCAGCAATGAAGGACATTCCCTGGACCTTCAAAAAAACAAAAGCAGTGAAAGTGCATTAAGTAAACAGTCTCATTTTTATATTAAGGTAGGGATCTGTAAGCTACAGTATTAGTAAAGGCTAGAACGCAACCAAATTTATTTACAGTTTTGACAAAAAACAAAAACAAACAGGCTAACTTGTTACAGAAATGCTAAATTCAGTACTTAATGAGTTATCATGCAAATGCTCAAGGCAGTAAAGTGATTACGGCAACTTAGACCTGCTTCTATCATTGAAGTTTCCACTCATGGATGTATGGGTGGAATCTACAGCATCCTGAGGTAAGGTTGCTAATGTATTTTTTATAGCTTCAGTAGGAAGAATTGGCAGGTGGTTACCAAACAAATATAAGGTGGTAAAGCCAACACGTGAATAATCTACATTCAGGGATTTTCTCCCCTTGCTTTTCTAGGGGCTAATGGCATAGGAAAGGAACATCTATAGTAGAATCTGGTGCACAGTTACTGGGAAGTCCCACTTAAATCAGTAAGTTAAGTCCCAATCACATGTCAACAGGATTTACAGACTCATCTCTACAGGCTACAGTTGAGCCATTACCTCTAGACCAGGGCTGGGAAACATTTTCAGCTCCAGGACAGATTCATAGCTTCCCCACCCACAACAGGCTACATCACTATGTCAGGTAACATCAAAGGGGCTTGTCATCAGCACCAAGCAGCTAACCGGTACCAGCAGAGAGCTCAGCTTTGTCCATTTGCTGGTGCAGTTTGAATCCAAACCACATCTGCAAACAGACATTCATTCTCTGTGTACCAGCAAAGCTGTCCACACAGTTGGTCAGTAGATGGAAAACATCTCTTTGCTGATGCAGTTTGAATTTAAACCACAACTGTGAACATACAACTTCAAAGCGCCAATCAGCTGAGCGATGCTATCAACAATACCTCCTTGTCAAAGAGATACCGGAAGTGTACTTCAAGCTCCCAGTTGTTCCTTCGCTGCGACACCACATCTGATGTCAGGTGTGGGGCAGGCGGGCGTGTATTGAGGAACATGGTCCTGTGAGCCAGAGTAGGACCCCTGCCAGATCCAATTAGGCTCATTGGCTGGTGGTATCCCACCACTCCTCTAAATGCAACAGAGCAATTGGATTATCTATAAAACTATCACCCATAGATGAAGTTGCGGGCAGGATTTGAAATATAAGCAATGGATTATTAAAATAATTAATGGTATCGGGTTTAGATAATAAAAACATATGTGTTTTAAAACAGCTAATAAAAAGAAGTAATAAAATAAACACCAGGAAAGGAGGGGTAGGGAGTCAAAAAGAAGTTATGTATGTATGTATGTATGTATTAAAAAAACTATCGTATGTGTTTTGCAGTATCTATGGAGACATTATATGTATATGTGTATATGTGTGTATGTGTGTGTGCGCACGCGCACAAATATGAGAGACAGACCAACCTCTTCTACTGGTGCTACACAGGCAAGCTATATTGAGATAGTTTACTCAGCAAAAACTATTCCTTTAAACGTCAAGCTAATATTTGTATGAAACATCATTACAATGTGAAGAACGGCAATGTTGTAAGGATACTTACATATCCTACATCTGGTCTGTAACATGTATATGCTCCCAGGACACTGTGCAAAAGATCATGATAAGGGCCACCCTGAAGTGAAAACAATGGAAAAAATAAACGTATATGTTAACATTTATTTTGTTTTTCTAGCTTTATTTTGAATTCAGAATACTATTTCCACTGGGTCACAATATATTCAATCTATAAAAAGTTAGGCATGCCCAGAAGCTTGGCTATATATGTGTGACAGCAGCACTGAATTTCCTACAAGTCCATTTGTTCCTGACTGCATGGAACTGTAACAGCTCCAAAAGACTAAAAAAAACCCTCCACCCATTACCTATGAACACATGTGCAAGCGAGTGCACACTTTCTCCATTCTATTGTACTACCTCCAAGCAAACAAGGGACAGTGAGCTAGAGAATGTCAACACTTAGGAACGCTGGCAGTCACCCCAGAGCGTGAACTTGGTTATTAGTATCCCAGTTGCAAACTGTACAGACAAAGTGCATTGTTTTCTCCTAATGTTCTCTGGACTATACGTACTGCCAAGAGCTATTTCAGTGCTGACAAAATGTAACTCTGAATTCACAACACTTGTGATCCAGCAAGCATTTTTAGATGCGGAGAAAGCCTTGCATACAACGAATTGTGTATTTTCTTCCACCACTATCACCCTGTCCCAGATTGTGAAAAAGTAATTTCAGACAGATTCTTGGTTGTTAATAGTTTCCTCCTCCTCCTCCTCCTCCTCCTCCTCCTCCTCCTTTTTTAGTGGAGACATTAGGTCAGAGGTCACCAACATGTTGCCCACTGATACAGTGTGCCCACCTGTACCTCCTACAGTACTCACAACGTGTCTCAGTAACTATCCACTCAAATATCCATGAGACACTGTTTGCTCTTCCAGCTCAGCTCCTGCTTGCACTGACTCAGCTTCCCCTAAACTGAACACACTCCCTTAAACATGTCTACATTTCCCTGGATGCCAGGATTTGACACATACCCTCTCATCCGTTCTGAATAGAGATACAAATAGCTTCTCGTAAGCAACTGCAGCAGTGGTTGATATTTGCACACACACCCCCCATGAGGCGGCTGATGAGGGGGGCATGACAGCACCACATTGAGGGCCTGTCCTTTCTTCTGCGCTTTTAAATGTGGCAGCCATTATGTCAAACCCCCGACAGCAGCCACTGCAGCTCAGAAAGGTTGGCGACGCTGCATTAGGTTATCATATAAATGAAAATTACAGAAACTTTTTTGCAATTTAGTAGCAGCAGGGGTGAGGTTAACTAAACAAAACAGAAAGCCTCACACCTGAACATTTGTTATTTCATCATTTAGTAACTCATATCGGAGCTGAAAATTAACTTTCGGGTTTGCAGGCTGTTCATTTAGGAATGCGAATTGGCTAAGCAAATAAAGAAGGGAAACTATCTAGACACAAAGTTTCAGGTGAGGCTTGAGCAAGGCAAACTAACTCTGCAATAGACAGCTCTCTGGGTTTTTTTTTATTCTGTCTAGTTGGAATGCACTTTCGGTTTCACCAGGAACAAAAGAGGAAGACCACTCAAGTCTCTTGAGTAAACAGATCCTATTTTAACTCTGGGGATTAAAAGCTTCTTTGGGTCAAGGGACCTGCTATTTTGCTTGTTACACTGTAACAGCATACACAGAGATGGAACTATATAAACAACTTTGTATAGGGGCTTCTTCTTACATGGCATTATAGACTGGAATGCCAATACCAAAATTCCAAGTCCACAAATGTTAAAAGGGGCAGGCACTATCGTTTTTCTATTAAAACATATGCAGAGGTCTGACATATATTCGAAAAGGGAGGCGGGTGAGTATACTTTTTCCCTTATACTACACCATTCGTTTAGTTATTTTATATACTATCAAACAGTTCTCTGAAATCTGTTTTGTAAGTATAGTAAGATGCCATTTTTTCATGTTTTTAAAAAGCCAAACACTTAACACTTGCAGATTTGTACGCTTGTACTTCTGCCAGAATATTGTTATTTGAACAGCCGTGGAACTGGCTTACCTTCCCAGTTGGCAGTGGTGAGCAAGCATAAAGTCTAGCTGACCAGGTGATCTTTTGTTTGCAGTTATGCCCCACCCCCCAGAAACAATGGCTTAAGTCCCGTAAGACCTGCTATGTTTGCTCAGTGAATGAAGGCAACAAGGTTTGCAAGCTGCTTTTACATTCTATTGCTTTAGTTGGACACATCAATCAACCTCTCCCCAAACCCCAGCACTCGCCAGCCTGGAAAATGAATTTTAGCTTGCTTGCTATAGCTGCTTTGTTCCCTCCCACACTCCACCCTTGCAAGCATGTAAAGCAAGTCAAAGATCTAACTATTCGACTGCAGGGAAACAGATGCATAGACAGAACATTTGCTAACCTGGTCAGATAAAACACTCCCTCTAAGTACCATGCCAAGAAGATGAAGTTATAGAGTTAATACCTGATACACAAGTGCCTTTTCAAATTATTTTTGAGTCACACTACTATTAATGTAGCATGGAATTCTTCAGCTGCATGAATCCATGGCAGAAAATTCCATTTTTTTAAAAAACAACCTTTCATTGACAGATTTTTATTTTTTTTAAAGAAAATCAGCCACAGCGGGGAAAATGTTTAACATGTTTGTATCTGAAGAAAGTCAAAAACATTTTACCTTCTGAAAAATATAGAGGGATGGAAATGTGCGCGATATATCCAATTTTATTAGCTCCAAACTAGCCTCCCGATCAGCAACTGATACTCCAGCATCTACAGAGATTAAAGCATGCAGATTTTTATATATGTATATGTCTGTAGAGTTATTTATACAGTAACGTAAGACTATGGCCATCTTCTACGTAGTCTGACTATTACTTCCAATCAGAAATTAAGAAATTACTAACTTAATTTACAGAAAGCAGGAAAAGGTGTAGAGAACAACTATTTCATTCAACTATCATTTTAACCTATGAGTCGTGTTTGGTATACCACTGCAAAAATAAAAAAGGGTTTTAAGAGGTGATTTAAAAAATGGTTTAACTCAAGCAGGCACAGATGTGTTGCCACAGTCCTCCCATTTTGTCCCCTCACCTCCATTTTGTCTCAGAATTTCCATCCTATAGTTGGCAAGGGCTCGGCAACCCAGGACAAGGATGTCAGACTATCTGGACTGTGCACTACTCTCTCTTGACCTGGGAAAGAGAGTTCCTAACCCTAAATGTCCAGGAGCTACAGACTTCTTGGACTTGCCGAGTCAAAAGCAACTGCATCCTAATTTAAATTTGGACAATACCCTGCTACTCATTAAACTGGCAATACAAAGATCCCCATGCCCTTTTGACACAATGGAACCACACCATTCATTCCCTGTTTCACAAAACAGCCAAAGCATATCCACCCTTTTTGTTCCTCTGGAAAACACCTTTCAACAGACTTCCTGTTTCAATTTTACAAAACTAATTGTTTTTAGAATTCTGGGGAAAGGATATCTCCTGAGAGCAGCCCTGCAAGCAGACACAGTGCCCAACTCATTCTGGGTTAGTAAAAGCTTTACTGCGCAGTAAAAGCTCTACTGTGTCCTGTATTTTTACTTTACTCCACCAAGGATCCTTCTTACCAGTCCTTCTTCTGTGATAGGGAAAAAACCTCACTTTCATTAATTCTCTTCCTCCCTTTCTGCCTGGTTTTTTTGCTTGCTTCTTCTTCCTCTCTCTCTAATCCTTGCTCTGCCTCTACCTTCTCCCTTCAACTAGAACACAGTTGTGCAATTTGGGCTTGTGGCCACTTGTCCTATTCTTTCTCCATCCTTTCTCAGTAGCCTTCAGCACTTGACTTGTGATTTGGGCATTATCATCATTTATTTTAAAACTCCCCTTTTCAGGGTTACATCCTGAAGTCTCAGTTGTTTTCCACTCCTTATGGAGTGTTCCACTATTCAAGCCAAAGACCTAAGTTACCCAGTTTGTGCTCCTGTTTATTCTGAAAGCATGGTAGTTTCTAGGCCAGCTCTTCCAGGCTGACAGCAGCCTGCTCTCCAGCACAAAGAGCTGGGGCCCATAGAGCAAAGAGACTCTTCAGCACAACACTATATTCCCTCATCCATCTATTGTTCCTGAAGGGCTTATTCCCCAAACATGAAATCAGGTTTCAGACCTCTTTAGAGACATACTGTACTTCCCAAGCAAGCATGCTAAGATATCATCATGTCATACGTTTATATTGGAAAAGGGCTTCTCCCTCACCCCTCTAATTTTGTACTGCTCATAAGGTTGGATCACAAATGACCAGACTTACTCTGAACTGATATTGCCAGTTCTGTTTGATAAATTGGTATCCTCCCTACAAAACCTACTTTTATTAAGCTCTTCCAGCTTCAGTATTTATGGCAAATCCACTGGATCATAACAGTATAATATTCTCTGAAGGAAACCCTCATTTCAACAAGCAGACAATTTTAAGGTATCTGCTACTGTGTTTGAATCTCCAAACAAAGAGATGAACAAATTCAGAAATCTGTTTGGGATTCAACTTGCTCAGAACTATACCACATCAAACTGTAGATGTTAGCTGATGATAACGTTAGCTTTCTATGTGCAAGTATCAAACGTTTGATCCTACAATGAATGATCTAGTCCCAAAAAGCCTGTGCTATATTTCTGAATGTGTCATTTGGCTAATCATGTGCATTCTATTTAGAAGAATGTAAAAGCAGTAATGGGTATCGTTGTAACCTACCTTCTGCATCATTCTCAGCACCCATCTCCCCAAAACTCTTCCATCGTTCCTTGGCTCTAGATAAGAAGATTTCATAGAGTTCTGCAAAACAGACAGCAAAATGGAGCCAAAGGGCAAATTTACAGATAAGAACTATACAATTTTCACAGTAATCCTGTTTTTTATTATATGCATTTTAGTTATAAAAACCAGGGAGGGAAATCATACTGTGTAATATCCAGCCACTGACTCGGGACAGCTTCCCTGAATTTAGCTTTAACTTGAGACATGAACAAGCCTTTTGGCTGCTTGTATATCCCCCGTTGCACACACAAACAAACCACTAGGTACTCCATTAACAAAATTTAACCAACTTCAAACCATGGCTTCATATTCCAGAACTGTTGAACATATATTCCTAGTTAAGATTAACCAGGAAACAATTGTTAATGGAAACTCATGTAAAAGGGCTTCATGCTCAGCTAAAATGCTCCTTCGTGTATCTGGGTATTAATCCAAGACGTGATTGTCCAAACAAGTACATAGAGATCTAGGCATGCTCCATACAAAGATTTGTGAACTGTTAGAATCTTTACGTTGTTCCAGTTCTTAAACCAGCTATACTGATCTTTCTTGAAAGAGATGAAACTGAAACATGCTAAAATCTACTAACCAAGTGATCTCTTCCTAAAAAGAGTGAGTCTTCTTGCATATTAAAAGCAGTCTCTTGAACTAAAATATTTAGTCAAGTCCCATTATTTAAAGGCTGTCTCCTCCCCCACCCAACAAAACCATTAACAAGCTCTAGCTTTTTGAAAAGTATTTGACAGCTAGAAAAAGTTGTCCCTTTCATTATCATCTTTAAATGGCTTCAATTTAAAACTGGTATTGGGAGACTGTGCCAGTTTACCTCTCCTGGGTGAAGCAAAATAGATACATTTTTGAACTTCTGTGGCATAAATTAATCTCTTCTAAAAGCAACTTCTTTCTGTATCAATAAAAGCTATTACAAACTCAGTGGAAGAAATGTTGGGTTATTTCTTGAGACCGCCATCCTACTGAGATAAGAGCTTGCATGTTTAGAACACATACCAGGAGTAATATTCAGTTCATTTCCTACAGCAAGACTCCACACTTTCCCACGAACGCTTGGAGGCAACCCTTGCCACCACAATTCTCGAACTCTCCTTGTAGAACGCCTAAAAAAAGAAGTACAGGTAATTTAGCTGCCATTCCTGGCATTTCCAGGTTGCCCCAGAAGCAAAGAACATCAGCAAGCTTTGGCTCCATACAGTGGAAAGTCAAGTGTTTTCCCTTATGGAAGCCAGATCACCTGAGAGGGCTATTGACACAGCTTTATCCCATTTAAGCCAACAGTGCCTTATGGTTTCTCCTAGATGCCACCCAGGGAAACCCCCTGGCCCTGGAAGACTGCAACTTCGCACAGGGTGAGCATTTAGACAAACTGCTAATGACAACAATTTATTAAAGAGATTACTGAATAGAAAAAGTAATTCTAGACTATCATGAGCCCAAATACATGTTTGAGAACAGAAAGAAAAACATTCAAGGCTTTTGAGGGATATAAAAGCCTGTGAAGCTTATATTTAATGCTTTTTCATCCTGCTCTTCAGTCAAAAGGGCTTCCATAGCAGCTAACAAGCATCAGTAAAAAGGCTCCTGATGTTACAAAGTCATCTATACTTACATAGTCTCCCAATTAGGCAGTATTTCATTGACCCAAATCACCATAGCGCTAGCGATGTTCTCCTCTTGCTTGAAGCGTTCTTTCATTATTTTCTTCCTTCTATGTGCATCCTTAATTTCTATTAAATCCAGAATATTTTTAATTTTAATTTTAATTTTAAAATCAACATTTCAAAACTGTATCAAGATAGAAAATGTTCTGGGGGTTACATTCTCCAGATTAAGTCAACTGCCAAATTTCTTGCATATCAGCGCTGTTGAGATTAGCTCTCGACAGAAATATGAATCTCCCAATACTGTCTATTTCCCCATTTCCTCTTCCAAGTTTGCAAGACACAGTGGATGTCTGCAATTGTGTGTATCTAGTAAGAAGAAGTAGGGCTGCACACTGACTAACCAACATCTCAAATAATGTTTGAATAAGGTGTTCTAGAGGAACTTTGTAAGAAACCACTTGTTGCATGAACCATTGCAAGCCAAGTTAGGACAGATGTTATTGGATGACTAATTAAATCTCAGAAAGCTGGGAGAGTAATGTGAATTCTAAGGGAAATTAGAGAGAGCCAGCAGTTTGGAGCAGAAGCAATATTACTGATTCCAAGCAGAATGACTGGAGTAACAAAGATTATCATTTTTTAAGTAAGAGATTACATTTCCAACTCCAACATTTACCCCCCCCCCCAAAAAAAATCCACCTTCTCAGATACCATCAGTATAGAGAGGCAAAGATGAAACACAACAGCAAGTCAGTTGTTTCAGTCTCCAATCCTGTATTTTCCTTTATCACGTTAGAATTTGTGTTATTTAGTGAATTGTAGAGTTGGAAGAGATCCCAAGGGTCATCTAGTTCAACCCTGTGCAATGCAGGAAGCTCATGGAAATCTGCCTTGCTTTCAGGACTGTTTCAAATATTACTGGTTTTTGTACACAGACATGAGTGACCTCTATAATTTCTCACCCCAAACCCAATTAAGCCAGAGGGGTTCACTGAAACCCTTGTGGTGCTACTGCCTGCTTGGGACAGGGAGAATAGGAGGGAGAATAGGAGGGGTAGGTCTTCCAAGTACCCACCACAATACAAGGCTGGTGGGTTGTATTTGGCAAGGTAGGTCATGAGTTCTGCAGGTTTTATGTAAAAAGTGTGTATACCACACTGTACAACCTACATGTCACCTGCGTACTTTCCCTTACGTAAAGGGTCCAATTTATGTAAGAAAAAAAGCAATTCTATTTGACAGGCTGTTAAAACAAATTGCTGACGGCACTGACCAGCCAACATAAGAAGCAAGTTGCCTTTGAGAAAATATTTTAATTGACGCTGGAGTGCTAATCTATTGCTATCATGGGTAAGCACTTGCAAGGGTGTAAGAAAGTTATGCACAAACATTAATAAACACGCACAGCGTTATGGTTTCAACACTGGCACAAGCTCCGAGGGGTAGATAAGCAAATGTATCCTTTGTAAGGTCAAGGCCTAAAGTCTTTTAACTTGCACACAGTCTTGGTGCAGGGTGACAACAGGTTTTAGGCTGAGGATAGAATCCACTAAACGCCATCTGCTGAAGGCTGCTGAAGTTGAAAAGGCAGTGATCACCTGCATTTCCATATACACTAACTGCATTGTATACCAGTTCAACAGCGTAACATACACAAATGGCACATATCTAAACTGTGACTCTCTCCAGCGGAACACAAGCTACCAGGCTACTGCTTTGGCTTTTTCTGCCATGTTAAGCTGCAGAGGTGAGTGTAACAGTGAAATAGATGTGTTGTGTGTGTTAGAGAGAAATATCTAGCTGTGCGTGCTGTGTGCGTACACTCAAAAAGCATTATTGAATATCTGTCTTCAGAATCCCAAGTACAAAGCAATGAATGAAACAAATGTGAAAGTTTCAGTTCCACACAGAGTGTGCTAAAGTGTTAAAATTGCAGCCATACTTTGAAGGACAAATTAACTTCATTTTAAGACTGTACCTCTGTGTTAAAAGAAAGAAAGAAGAGTTTTCTTTTAGTCCAGGATAATTTGCATTCTATTTTTTATATTCCCACATTTTCGTTTTTAGAAAATAGCATTATGAACAGTAAGACTAGCCATACCTCTCTTTTTTGCTTCTGCCACCATTTCATCATATTCTTGTCTGTGACGTAAAGCCTCTTCTACAGATTTTGCAGGAAGGTTCCTGGGGGGAAAACATAAGCAAAGGTAAGGCTAAATGAATCAAATTAAAAAGTTTTGTTTTGTTTCATTTCCTATACAAGGGAATAAATTATTCCACTCTGCTTACTCCCAATAGGACCTTCCCGTCTGAGCCGTGCAAGATACCATAATTACCTTACTGAAGCAAAGATTTATGCCCAATATCTCAGGAGGCAGGCAGACTATAAATAAGGGAAAAGGTAAGACTGACCCACATTATACAATATTTATAGTACAAACCTTCATCGTTTGTTTCCGGACATAATTCAAGTTGCTGAGATGGATCTAGGAAGTCATTTACAACTTAGGGCAAGGGTATCTGAAGGGCTACCTGAATGAACATTTCTGTGCACCACAAAAACCAACATTAAATTTTGATATGATCTTCAGGAGGAGGGAGGCAAATCCTTCCAGGCATAACTTTGGTCATAACAACCTGCTTTGACATGAAACTGATACTCTGCTTTCAAAAGAACTCGTAGCGACTTACGATGGTCGATCCTCCAAAATAAGAGCAGTAGTTGAAAGTGGCTCAAATTCAAAGTGTCTACGTCTTGTCGCTTGGGGTACAGGTTTACATGTTTTTCCTGTTCGTGCTTCATACTCCTAAACAAGATTGAATGATATAATTTTAGTTGATCCACAGATGGGATAAATGGCAACAGTTTAAGCTTCCATCAATGAAGCTACGAGTCGCCTAGGTAACGACAACTTCAGAGTCAGATGAATATTGCTAGCAGCCATGCACAGTATCAGCTTGAGACTCAGGACAGAGCAAAAGGCGCTGCATCTAGTAATCGTGTTGTAACCAACACAAGCTGAAAGAGTAAATGTTCTGCAAATTACAGCGTGTGGAAAATCCATATAAAAGGAGGAAGCAAGACAAGAGAAATAATCTGCTACTTATTGAAAGTTTCTGGTCCCATTCTGATGTAACCTAGTGCTAAACTACGGTTTACCGTTATGGTTTGAAGTTCACAAGTTTCAACTAACCATAGTTAAGTTTGTCCTGGTTTAGACATAACACTTAACTGTGATTAGTGTAAAACAGAAGTAAGTGCATTTGAAATGCTCTTCCCAATCACACAGGAAGGACAGAAGGGGGACAGGAAAGTCTACAAGCACCTGGCTTACTATGGGCTCATTCCTGTAATGATAAACCATGTCTGACGAAGCCACTGTCTTTACTATCTCAGTTGTCAGTAGTATGGTAATCTGAATGTATACCACCACCCTGCTATCAGATAAAAATGTTGATCAACTTAGGTTGATTATACAGAAAATAATTATACAGAAAATAATTATAAAGCATATGTTTCTTCCTCACCAACACACATTCTTGCTGATTGTATTAAAAATTGAGGTGAAACATTAATTGTGGCCAAACCACAATCTAAAAGGTTTGTATCAAAGAACTGTACCCACAGTGGTTTTGCAGTAACGACTACACTAGAGGTTTGGCCACTCTTTAGTATAAAGGAGATCAGGGCAAAATACTGCTACATACTGAATCAAATCCCCCCCCCCCATTAAAAATATCTCAAATACACTGCTAAATTCCACAGACCTAGCCCATTTCAAAACATAAAAAGCAACAAATCAGTTGAACTGAAAAAATATGCTGTTCTAAATAACTGGATTTGCAGCAGCTACAGAGGTAAAAAATATATGCACCAAGAAGTACAAAGCAAGCACACTAATTTTCTCATGAAAACTTTATCTTCGCCTTTAAAATGCATGGCTAGAACCTAAGAGCCCTCCTGGATCAGACCAAAGGTCATTAAGTCCAGCATCCTGTTCTGACTGTGGCCAACCAGATAAAGCTCCTTAATTAATTTGGTACACCTAAAATGTAAAAAACAAACAAACAAAAAAAACCAACCAACCCCCCCAAACCCCTCAACTATTCAGAAATCCCTTCTGCCAAAATATCAATACTATATGAGGGCCTAACAGAGGATGAGTTTTCATAACATAATAAAAGTTTGGTGCCACCTTTTAAAAGGAGTTTGGCTATTTTGGACACCGTTTGCTAGCATTCAGAATCGGAGCAAGGCACAGGAGGCTTGTGGCTTCGCTTTTGCAAGCATGTTGGCTGGAGAACAAGAATACCACTTCATTTAAAGCATCCAACCATGGCAAGTTACTGTGGCATCAAATTCATCAGTTATGGTTTGGTCAGACAGCTAAAAGAGGGGTTCCCTGCCTGATGCAGCGACAGGGTTGTACAGATTGCAGCACTTATTTGGCATCAACCCACAGCATTATTATTGCTTTAGAGAATGCTGCTGGGACAGCTACAACATAAATGAAAAGGCCACACCATTTACATTACCATGTTTTTGGCACTACGTTAAATACATTTATGGCAACTGCACAGATGATTTTTCAGCCGAACATAAATATTCAGAAATATAATTTACATATTTCAGATGTAGCAGATATCCTAATCTCAATTATTGGGGATGAAATGACTCACTAGAATCAGCAAGATTCAATTCTGCCAAACATGGCTGGCCTTACCAGCCACTACCCGTAATATTTCCAAGCTTGTCTTCACAACTACAATGGCTAGAAGACTTCAACAGACCCATTAATGGGACCTACTATCCTCCAGACATGGGAAAGGTAACTGACCTTTGGACGTTTTCAGAAGGTCAAATTAAGAGGCTGGGAAAAGCATCTATTCAGAGAATGTTAGAAGCAATAAATACATTTTTATAAGTTATGCAATGGAGTGCAAAAAAAGATAAATGTTGTGCCAGTGAACACATAAAAGTATAGATGCTTGCCAGGCTGATTAGTCACAGTTAGGGCTGTGTATACTTTATGCTGGTAAAAGGTTTGTGCCAAGATAATGCAAGATCTGCACCCTGCATAAATTCTGTTTGCTCACTCTGCTTAAATGTCTGCTAATCGTAGATAGTAGCAGGAAACTCTTCAGTACAATAAAGCTTCACCCTGTGACCATTAGAAGCCCTGCCCTAGAAACCCTACCCTGCCTCATCTGTTTTGTTTGTTGTTGTTTTAATTTTTACCGGGCACTACCCACAATATTTCCAAGTTTATCTTCCCAGCCACAAAGACTAGAAATTATCAGGCTACTGAATTCTGGACCCAATACCAGTTTCTGTGCAAACACCAGCTACACTCAGCCTTTGCTAAAGCACTTTTAGATAGGCTAGCTGAGACAGGTACCTCCTGCACACAGCAATTTCTTGACAATTGCTACTGTCTGTAAGATAGAAAATCAATTAAGAATGCCATTTTGAACACGAGTTTCCTTGTGTCAGTACTGAATGCATAAAGGGCAAGGAAGGGATGCAAGACTCTGAACACTTAACTCCTTGTTTATTTTGTGATGTGACAAACTGAAAGCAAGCTTGTTTGAATGCTTTGCCATTTGAGCAATTGTGTGTATTTCTGACTGTGTAAAATTAAAGTTAACACTGTTGCCTTGTGACTTGTTCTTGGCTATAAACACCAGCCAAGGAGATATCAAATATGTTCATGAACCTCAACTGCCTGCGTAGCAATCATTTCAAGAGGCTGCTTTATGTGCATGGACTAAAAGTAAAAATAAAATAAAATAACTACTGTATGTTCCTAACATTGAGTTTCTGGATTGCCAATTGACAAACCTTATTTGACATAATGTGAGGTATGGAAGGAATATCAGAGAGATGAAATTCAGTGTTTCTTATGAAGATAACCATGCATGGCAAGAAACTGACTATTCCTACCTTATGCCTCCCTTAGGGGAGCTTTTCCCAACCTGGTGGCCTCTAGATACTTGGACTATAATAGTTCCATCATTCCTGACTTGGGTCATGCTGGTGGGAACTGATGGGAGTTGTGGCCCAACATATCTGGAGTGCACCAGTTATTAACCATATCAGACTATTATGACAGCTCCAAAAAATATGTAATGCATCGGCTTAAAGCATATCATTCACACGTTATGTTTCCAGGGAGAAACACTAGTGTAACAGGGTAATCACTGCATAATGTGTGATGCTGCTCCAAATGTTCAGTTTGTCACAGTGTTATGAAAGTGTATTTTAGACAATCTCTGGTGGGGCACCATGTCACTCACTTCCCCCCCTTGCTGTAAGTAGCATCATTCTCTGGGATATGAAACAAAGACTGTGTTCAAATGAAGTGCAGAATCCACTACATGTTATATTCATCAAACTGAAACCCAAGTGCTTCATTGTTCTTGACAAGTCTACCTTGTCACTAACAAATAAGAACTCCAAACCTAAGGGTTAGCTTGTTGTTGTTGTTCCAAGGTGGGTTACAATAATAAAAGCACAATGTTTAAAAATAGTTTAAAACAACTTAAAATTACAGAATAACCTGGGTCCTAAAAATACATCAAGTGTCAAAAGCCAGTGTATAGAGGTGCACCTTTTTAAGTTCAGGAATTTGCATCAGAGAGAGGAGTTGCTGATACATTATAGCAAAGGCAACTCAGAAGATATTAAAAAGCAAGCCTTATAAATAGGTTTAAAGGAATTTGAAAAAGCAGAGTGTGAATGGCAGTAGATATGGCAACAGACATACAATTACCCCAAGAAAGGGAAATTGGAGAGAATGAAAGATGAGGAAGCAGAGTCAGCCTATCAGCATTTCCACTCTCTCTAAAGAAAACAATATCATTTCAGTGCTACTGATGATCAAGTTCCAATAGATTCAAGTGTCAGGATTCACAAGGCACTGCAACTCAATGCCATCCTTCCTCCCACTCCACCCCCATCCCCACAGCAACAAAACACACAGAGGAGGGGGAAAGGGTGTTCCATTTTTTTAGGGTTAACATTTGCGCTTTTTTAACCTTTAAGGCCTTAACAAGCAAATAATAATAATAATTCAAAGAAAGGCACTCAAATATTTTAAAGGCAGAAAAGCATGCTTAACATAACCAAGATAAACAGGAAGAAAAGGGAGGAAAGGGACTAGCTCCAACAATCTGAGCTCTCTTACATCTGCCAAAATATTCTTTTATTCTCTCAGCATGTGTCCAATTATGTTACTAACAGATGGGGATCCTGACACTTTGATCTAGTAGTGTATTTGACGAAGAGGAGAAAATAGGACTCCTATCCGACATGACCCCATTCAAATGCCAATATTCTTACTGCAGGCTGTTCCCTATCCAAAGCTACTAAACAAATGAATAGTTAGAAACTAGGGGATTAAATGGTTGAAAGAGGAAATAACGTCTAAATGACTCATTAGTCAAGACGGCCTGAAAATCGGCTTTTCAAATACATACTACTTTAGACTGGGCTGGGATTAAGGTTCAAGATACTAAGAGAATTTAGTTTAACATGTTAATAAGCAGTGATCTACAGCCACCCTGAGTTTTGAGTGAACAAGAGAACGGAGGGGTACACATTTTTTAAGTTGATCGCACCCCAATTTAGATGGCGTATTCATTATTTAATCAGTTATCTAGAAAAGCACCAAGGCTTGTTGCTCATAGATAATAGTGGCAGAACAGAGAGCAATAGTTGGTCTTAATACAATGGTATTGCTCCATGGATAAGAGCTTACTATGAGTAAGCTAGTCAAGGAAAAAAAACAGAGTCCTTTGCTTTTAAGGAAGTTCTCCTTGCGCTATAATATAGCTTCAGACTTTGCCAAGCTCAACTCTGGCATATTTTCCCTTCACCAGTCCACTTGGAATGGCGACCTTTAACATTGGAAACTGTTGCAATTATTTAATTTCACTATACAGCCAGACGTCAGTGAAGTTGCTGAAAACATTTGTAGACTATTGCTTAAAAATTGCTGAAAGCCACATGCTAAGTGAACAAGAATGAATATTTCATTCAACTGCAACAATTAATCTGGATACATTTTCAAATGAAAGAAACAAAACAAAGAAAATCATATCAAATTTGCAAACTGTGAACAAGGGAAATGAGTAAAACTTGCTTTTCAATAATGGTATTCAGTGACTTGATGAGTTAGTACTGTTAACTCATGCTACAATTATGTGATATGCCATCTAATTCAATGATTGCTAAAAAGATCCCATGCATGGCATATAAGGTGATAGAAAAATATTAAATTTCATACCCCTGTGTTTAATAGATTGAGTGTAGATACTGATGCAACACTGCCAGAACTTTCATCCTAATGAGAAAAACAGAAGTAAATCCTTAGAGAAACAATTGACAGTCATTAATATACAGCAACATGCATGCAAACTTTATGTTCTTCTTTACAGTTTATATGGACCACCAGTGCGTACTGCTTTTTCAAGCATGCTCATGTTCAATTCCAATGCAGACTGAGATTGAGGCATTGGGCAGATTTAAGACATATACCCATACTCTACATTAAAAGCTAAAATTCAAAGCTTCTATCAAAAAACCACCGAGTGTTTAAGGCACAGATTGTATAATACGTAAAGAGGACAAAAATAATAATCCGTTACGGCCTTCATAGCCAAGTCATGCCCTAGCCAGCAGTCTTCAGATCTTCTCAATTAGAAAGGCCCACTCTAAAAGGTAACATCTGTGGAAACATACATTTGGCTTCTCTCTGGTATTTTTGATAAGCTTATATGTAAATTCTACTAGTTTTAAATCTTTTTAGTGAGGTGCATATGTTTTAGATAGCTAAAATGAATGGTTCCACGAGGACTAAGCAGGGAAGAAAGTCGACAGGAAATGATTTGGATGTTTAAATTCAGATCTATCTTAGCATTCATTTCTGTTTAAGAAGCATTTGGCACAGCAGTAAAGATGCATCAAGGGACCAATGTCCTAAACTAGCAGAGCAATTCAAACCTCCTTTGGGCCAGGCTGGCAGGGGCTGGATTGGGCAAATGCACCTCCACCCAAATCAAACCCCTCCCAACAGGGCTGCTGGTCTCTTACCAGCCTTCCACTGGCCACGGCCTCTGGAGTGAAAGCAGTCGAGCTGAGCTGGCCAGGATAAATTACCGTATTTTCCCGTGTATAAGACAAGGTTTTCATATTAAAATTAATTCTTAAAAATTGGGAGTCATCTTATACACGGATAGTGCAGAGGGGGACATGCGATTAGTGGCTGCAAGCAGTAGATTACAATCAGTGATTCGGTGGGTGATTGGATGGTGCAGCAAGGCCTGCTGGCGATTGGCGGCTGCTGGCAGCGAACGAGCAGGCGATCGGTGGCTTCGTAGAGGCGTTTGTTTGGCAGCGACGGTCAGGCGGGTGAACGATCGTTGGCACCCCCCCCCCATAGAAGCTCAACAACTCTGGGCAATCACCCCCCATTTCCTCAATTTAGAGTCCCAAAAAATAGGGGTCGTGTAATACACAGAAAAATACGGTATATCCCAATCCATCCCTGCTGATGCCACATAGTGGCCTTGGGCCCCATGTGGGCCTGATCACTGCTCCAGCTCCAGACTGGCACAGCAATCTGCCTGCTCGCCCCCATGCGCAGCACAGCTGCAGATGCAGTGGTGGTCTTGCCACTCCATAAAACCCCTTTCGTGCCAGGGAGGAGTTTAGATTGCTCCCTACATACCGTATTTTTTGCTCTATAAGACTCACTTTTTCCCTCCTAAAAAGTAAGGGGAAATGTGTGTGCGTCTTATGGAGCGAATGCAGGCTGCGCAGCTATCCCAGAAGCCAGAACAGCACAAGAGATTGCTACTTTCACTGTGTAGCAATCCCTCTTGCTGTTCTGGCTTCTGAGATTCAGAATTTTTTTTCTTCTTGTTTTCCTCCTCCAAAAACTAGGTGCGTCTTGTGGTCTGGTGCATCTTATAGAGCAAAAAATACGGTAACTAACACAAAAACAGACTGCGTCACACCTGAAGCAGTACTGAAAAGGCTGTACAAATTGACTAATATTATGTCTTCACGTATCAGGAGGGGCAGAAACAAGGACTACTGAGAATAAGATGTAAACCCTGCCAAACTAATAGCAAGGTGACCAAACGTATACTTCAAACCTAGAGAGGTTCGCCATGCCAGAAAAAGCAAATGACCTCAGTATGAACATTGTTTGGCAAATCAACTAGCAGCCTTCCAGGGCCCAGCAAATTTATCTCCAGTTCCATTTGTCCTTGGGAGATCTAGTGACAGATCGGCCACCCACTATGGCAACATTATTCCAAAAAGTCTATGAACATGGGATAGGTAGTTTAACTAAGATACCAGGAATCTTGATAGCAAAAGCTCACGCGCCAAGCGCACCAAGTTATCTAGGAATCTTTTCCCATAACCTTGGAAGCACCTCTCTGATGGGATAAACATTTCCCCACATTGTGTCAGTGTCGTAGTAGGTTGTATTAGCAAGCAAGGAACTCCGTTAACTGGTTTAACATACTTAGTTGCTGGTTTAACATACTTTCACTGATCTTCATTGTTTGCGGGCAATAAACCATGCTCATTTATATGGGTAACAGATGTTACAGAATACCGTAGGTCATAGGATCAGTATGAATGTTCCAAACAATTTAATTGGAAAGTGTCAATTAACATCACCTTTGCTGAGCTATTTTAGACATTCCATGGAGCTTGGACAGAAAGACCGAGTTTTTCTTTAAATAGCAAGCCAATGTGTCCTTATCATATTGCTTTTTAGAAATACCACTATTCAATAAACTAAAGCTCAAACCACCCTTGGACACCCTGCAGTGTTAGAAACTGAGAGATGAAAGCTAGGAGCCAAATAGCACCTTAAATTTAGGTTATGGGCGCAACAATGGAATGTCCAGGTGCGCTTTTTTATAACAAGAATACAAAGCTGAAAATGAACTACAGCTAAAATACTATGTTCATTTTTCACATGGTCTAGTCCTTCCCCTGCCCACCCCCCTTATATTCTTAAGAGGGTCTCTTCTCCAGTCTTCAGAGAGGAGCTAGAATTGGGGAGGGAGAAAAGGGTCCTCCTTTCCTTCCACTCTGCGGTTTTAATCTGAAATCTCAGGGTGCAGTATTGTGTCCAGAGCTCAAAAACTGCTTGTGCTAATGAAATTCCCTGTCGCAAAATGCACTGAGAACAATGGAAGTTTCGAACACTGACAGACACCCTGTCCAATTTCCTATGACTAGTACCATTCAGCTGCTTTTAAACCAATTTCTAAGGAAGCCTGACACTCTAGAGATTGCTAAAGAACTTTAAAATTTCATACACATGTATAGTGAGAGATTACCAGGACAGTGAGAGAAATAAAAGGAAGTGGTGAGCAAAAAGGAGAGAAAAGTCAAGCTTATTTTTTTTAAAAAAGGAAGTAACATTGCTGATTTTAGGAGCTGCAATTATTCCCATCCCAAACAAAAACTGCTAATGAGGCACTTTAAAGAATGCAGTCTACCACGTAAGTTTTTCAGATAGAGAAAAAAACATGAAATGTTGCTATTCATCACATATTTCAATCCATGCTGATACCATGACAAGTATTTAGAAGTAAGTGGTTGTATGCAGAAGAAGAAAAATGTATTCTTTTTTTCTGCCAGATAATATACTGATTGTTTTTTTAAAGGGCACAATCCTATGGACACTGGGAGGGATCTGAGCCCATAAAAATTTCCAGATCTTCCTCTCTGCAGGCAAAGAGAGACTACCTTGTTACAATCAATGAAATCACTGATGCTGTTACTCTTCTGCCTTCGGTTCTCTGGCAGCAGGAGTATGTATTTCAAGGGAGTGTCAGGGAAGCAAAGTGTGCTATACTTGATGTCAGGGGACTGCCACTGCAACAGGGGAGGGGGGAGGAGAATACAGAGAGCCTCCAACGCTGCTGAGGAGCAGCTCCTCGTCCAGCAACGAGGGAAGCCACACCTCCAGTGGAGCAGAGCGGGAAGTGGATAGCCAGGCGAGGGGAGGGCTCGAAAATGTGACTGAGAGCCCAAGAGCCTCACCTAGCCCAGCTGGCCAGGAAACAGACATGCCGTTTCCGTCACCCAGCTTGCGCAGAGGGGTGAAACGTAAGGAGGGGAGGCGGAGATTTGGGGTGTCTAAGTTCTTATGTTGGGGGAGAAACCGGAAGGGGCCACTCCCGGATTCTGCAAGTGACTGAGACGGACATGAACTTTGGGGTTCTGCACTGTAAATAGTTTGCACCAATAAAACCTGTGAAAGACAGGTCGGAGTCCTGTCTGGTTACTCGTGGGCAACCACTTCCAGACCTGACATTTGTCATCAGGGCCATCTTAAGTATATGCGGCACCGGGGTGCAAAGATCCGCCCGGCGCCCCTAGGTTGTCCAAAGTTGTTGACTTTTTTAAGGGAGAGAACCGCCAAAATTGTTCACCTTTTTTAAAAGAAATAGTTGTTTACCTTTAGAAGGGTTGTGGGGCATATGAAGGTGGGTGCAGGTTCCATGCTGGGGGGGAGAATGTCGGGTGGCACAGTCGCAGCGCTGTACACCCGCTGCCTCCCCCCCTGCATGGCGGCTAACTGTTTTGGCCGCACGTGTAGCACGCGGAGTGTGGGCGCTGCGCGACACATCCTGTTGCGTGTGCCAAGCTGAGGGCTCCTTGTTGGCTTTTCCGCTGTCGGTGCACGCTCCCAGTGCTGCCCAACGTGAGGTGCCAGCGCAGAACGATGGGGAATGCAAGTGGCAGCAGAGGAAAAATCTCTGGATGGGATCCGCGCACTCCTATTCGTCAGGTTTTGTTGCTGCCGTCAGCGGATCCCGCCCGAAGATGTTTCCTCTGCTGCTGCTTGCATTCCCTGTCATTCTGCGCTGTCACCCCACCTTAGGCAGTGCTGGGAGCGTGCGCCGATAGCGGAAAAGCCAACAAAGGAACCTGCAGCTCGGTGCATGCAACAGGATGTGTCATGCAGTGCCCACATTATACGGTGCTCTGGGCACGGTGCCGAAACAGTTAGCCGCCATGTAGCTGGAGCAAGAGCCGACAGGCAAGCAGAGCAGAGCCCGCTGGAGCGCTGCAAGCGGCTTGGTGAGAGTTTGGGGCCGAGCGTTGGAGTCCGGGAAAGAGCCGCCCGCAGCAGAAGACCCCGTGGTGCTCCGACAGACTCTGCTCTGCTCTGCTCGGCTGTTAGCAGCTTTTCCCCAGACTCCAACGCTTGGCCCCAGACTCTCGGCCTGGTGCCCCTGAGAACCCAGCGCCCGGGTGCCGTGCACCCCTAGCGCCAATGGTTAAGACGGCCCTGCTTGACATGTTGCTGGAGTGAGGGAAAACCAATGGGAAGCAAAGTTTTTAAAAGATGAAAGATACAGGGGGAAGGAAAATGCAGATTGCAGATTACACACACACACACACACACACACACACACTTATTTTGCTCCGCTGGCGCAGGCTTGGCAGTTCTTCCACCTTTGCTCCTCCCTACCCAACCGTAGGATGGCTCTGCCTGATTCTTCAGTGGAGATCAAAATAGCTGCTTAGTCTCATGCAAATAGTGAGTGATACAGATGTTCCACTGGGATTGCATTATTATTTTCTTTGAACAACCTTTCTGACATTATTGCAAACTGTTCTTTGTTTTAAAAATTGTCATGCAGCACAAATGAGGAAAGGAGAACAGACGAAATAAAAGGAGGAAGTGGGAATGGAGAAGTGATCGAAACTAATTTCATAGCACCCTGGACCCTGACCATTATCCTGAAGCAAAGCAACTGAAACATGACCAGACCTCTGATATAACTGATTTTTCTGTAGCTTTGCTTGTAAACTTACAAGAGTCCAAATCATAAACAGTGTAACCCTAAGGATGCCTTTTTGGAAGTAAGTTCTGTTGACTTCACTGGGGATTACTACCAAGTAAGTGTACCTAGGAATGCAGCCTTAGTCAATGGTAATATGCTTTTTACCCTCACTGACAGCTACTCTACAGGAAATCATTCACATTCCACAGAAGTGTTCTGCATTTTGATTCACTATTTTCTAAACACCAAACTATTTCTAGAAGTCAGCTGAATGCTTTCCCAGAAACCCTGGAAGTCTCAATGAGTCTGGATTGAAAGAGAATAAGTTACATAAGAGCAATTTCTCTGCCTCCAAAAGCAACGACTTTTGAGTTCGTTGTCATTGTGATAAACCACTTTCTAACTATACAAAGCATAAGATACATGCATAACTCTTTTAAGCCATGCATTCAGAAAATGTAATACTCCTGTTTAAAGAAAATATTAGAACAAAAGGAACAATATGCAAGTTAAAACATAAAACTTATGTATTATTTGCTGTATTTAAGTACAAAAAATGCATTTCACATTTATGGTGCAGAAAAAAATGTTACTACTGCTTTTATTTTTTTTACCAATGACAGTATATAGCCACATGTGTTGTGCCAGAGATTTAAAAATCCAATTAACAAAATCCATCACAATGATAAATACATCCAACTTCAATATCTGAAATATTAACTTCTACGACTAAAGCACTTCTGCATGTAAGTTAATTTCATAGTGTCTGTATTCAGCTTCAGCTTTTAATTTTAGAATATCTTACTATATATAGATTTACTAGATTTAGGGTTCAAGTGCAAGGTAACAGTAAATGGCTTGTTTATTCACTGAGAAATGAGACCATAGTATGAATAACGTATTGAGGTTAAAACTTCAAACGAAGCTATTAAAAATGGATGATGGGAAAATGGTTCAGAGTAAGATTCAAGTAAAATCTTCTGGCTTTTTCACAAGTGAAGATGCACTTTACCAATTGCTTTTATTCAGATTTTTTTTTTAAGAACAAAATGAACATTTACAACAGCATAACCATTGCTTTTAACAACCTAGCAGCTGAAAGCAAGTTGCACGTCTCAATGGTATGCATCCAATACACAGTTGTTTAACAGTCAGATTTGCCTTAGTGTTGCATGGAAAGTAACACAGCAACACTGGGTCAAAAGTTGAAACACTGACTGGCAGTAGAGATTAAAAACATGAATTTCATTCTCTCCATTACTGAAGTTCTATGCAAAGGTAAGAGACACCTTGCTTGAACACAATAATGGATTATCTTCCTTTCAGGAATTACAGACAAAGGATTGTATCCAACACTGTCTGAACACAAGTGGGACATCCACTTCCGCAACAGAACTTCACTTTCCTCTCCTCCCCCTACAATCCCACGCTTACCCCCAAAATTTGCTACCAGTCACTCTGATGTCACAATGACATCAGGTGATGGACACATCTCAAAGTGCAGTGCTGAAGCACCTGACAATCAACTAGTTGTTGAGGGCTTTGGAACCTCTGGCCCACAGGCCAGATTTGCCCCACCATATCGTCCCATTTGGGCTGCAGTCTTACACAGCAATGATCCGCCTTACCAGGGCAGCTGGGCATGGGTTGGTCAAAACAGCCTTGTGGGCCAAAAGGGAAGCCCTGGTGGGCCAAATCAGTCCCACAAGCAGATACTCACTACACCAGGACAGAGGAACAATTTTAGTCAACGCTGCAGCCACTAAGTCATGAAGCACTGAATGAACATGGGTATTTGTGCCAAGAGCTTGCATGTGTGAATGGGATATCACAGGCAACAGCGAATAAAACCCATAGAGCAAGGGGTGCTGGACACCAATTCCCATCAACCCCAGCCAGCACGGCCAAAAGTAAGAGACCATGGGAGTTGGGAGTCCAGTGAAATCTGAAAGGGCATGTAGTTTAAAGCCTACATGTAAAAAACTTGCCCCCATTTAGCACAGAGAGAGAGTGAGGGAGTTAATAGTTGCTTTTCTGTGTAAGAATGAACCGTAATGCAAAATGTCTAAGATGAAATACTGTAAATAACAAAGTCATATTTTTGGCTTCCTTCCAGACTGGGATCAGGAAGTTGTCAAGGGCTCTAGGTTTCATGAGAGCCAACTCATAGCTCATCAGTATCATCCACCAAACCCATATGAGAAATCTTGCATTTCTTGTGTGTCCTCTAACTGCTGCTGCAAGGTTAAGCTCACAATTAAACTGCAGTTAAATTTACTGGTTAGCCATTTTATCTTGCACTGCACTGCTGTTTTAGTGTTTTGGTAGTTTTGTAATATTTGTAGCAATACCAGCCAGCCAGTGAAGTGTGAGTTACAAGTTTCATAAACAAGCAGACTACTTGAGTTCTGCAACTTGTTCAGCTGCAAATTTGGAATATTTAGGACTACCAAACACACACCACAGATATTTACTTCTGCCTAATAACAACCAGCGTACACATCTACAAAATTCCAGACAAAGTTCTTAACAGTCCATTCCCATCCAAAAACCCACTTTGTTCAATGGGATTTGATTCAAGATGACTATAAATGTACCTAGTCTCTAAACCAAGACTGTTCTGCAGTGCAAAAAGTATAGATTTTGGATTATGTTTCTAGGTTGCATAAAGACTATGAGTGTCACACTCGGAAGGGGCAACATATTTGATTACAATGGGCCCAAGTATAACTAACGTTGAATAGCATCCTCTGTTCTAGCAACTAGCTAAGATGCATGTTGTTTCAGGAAATATATTTATTTCAGAATAGGAAAACTAATTTAAAGCCATTCTTTTCTTGCAGATTTAAATTACTTTGATTTAATATATTCTACCAATAGATCTCTTCAATGGACTACATTCACACAAGCAACTACCAAGCAACAACTGTGCAATTATTTGTACATTTATGCAAGAACTACCCTATCTATTTAAACTTAAATTGAAGCCATAATTTGAACCCCTGCCACATCATTTTATGACTCATCTAATCCAAATTAGTTGTTCCCCACCTCCACAGATACAGAAAGTTTATTATTCTTATGCATGCAGACTAAAATATTTTATGGGTTCTGAGTAAACTATTCAACTACAAGTGACTGCCGCAAAGCACTAGCAACTTCTGTTTACATTTCCATCCATTTGTTAAGGCAAACATATACTCAAAACTATTCTTGAAAAGTTTCAGCTGCAGTTTCTTTTAATTGTTTTAGGCAGTGCTTTTTTCTGGAGGTACACAAACCCCTAAACATTTTGTGAATCTAAGTTTGGCCTTATTCAGGGACAGTATTTCAACATGAGTAGGAAAATGAGAGTACCCCTAAACATTTTCTTTTAGAAAAAAAGCACGGGTTTTAGGTACTGTGGGAACTCTTCAGGATTGAAGAGCAGGGTAAAAATGATTATCTTACTACATAATGTTTTTGTAAGGAAAAAAGTGGCCATGCTGCAAGTCACACGGCAACAGCAGGCAGATTCAGCCAGCAAAGCAGGCAGGCTGAGGGTGTGAGTGGGCTAACCAGCACAGCGAGCAGGCAGGTAGCCCAGGAAGACCTTTCCATGCTCCTTGTGTCACCACCCGGCACCCAACCTTTCCTTTACACCCACAATAGGGGTCTGAATGTGCAAGCAGCCCAGCTGAGCAAGCAGGCAGGTCTTCCCATGCTCCCCACCCTTGCTGCTGCTGCCACCACCACCCACAATTCACTGAAACCTCCCCACTCCACATCCCCAGATAACTTCTCCAATCTCAAGATCCCACTGCTACCTGCAGAGAAAAGGGGAGAGAAGAAGAGAAGTCTCCTCTTCACCCCGGGCAACCACACACTTCATTCTGCTGGTGTCACAGAGCATGGGGAGAAAGACTTTCTCCTCTTCATTCCCCTCTCCTCTGCAAGGGGCAGAGCAGCAGGATCTTGAGATTGGGGTGATCTGTGAAAGGGTGGGGAGGAGAGAGTTTCCAGCAGTCTGTGGGGGAGAGGAGAGTTTGGGGCAAACCATGGGAGAGGAAGATTGGGGAATGGGGTGGCAGGTGGGGAGCTGAAGTAGCTGTGAGGGGTCTGGGAGGGCTGAAGGACCTGTGAGGGACAGTGGGGTTGGCAGGGTAGGCAAGCAACACTAGCAGGAGTGGAAGTCCCTAGTAAATAAATTAACATTAAGCAGGACTACCTTACAGAAGTCTGCTCTATGAAATTCCTAGGACAAAATGGGAAAAGATTTGCATATCATTTTACAGATGCTCACCTGCTGAATTATCTTGGAGTCTTTCTGTACGTTTTCTTTCGGTGGGACTTTTCCAAACAACTTCCAGCCAGGAGCACTGTGGACAGCAGGTTTGAGTTCCTTTGTCCTTTTAGCAAAGAAGTTCCTGTTAAAAAACGCACAAAGAAGTTTAAAACTGAAGGTGTGTTTGCTGGAGTTGATGTCAATTTCTTAAACCTAAATATCAAGATTAACAATTAATCACAGCTACTTTCTACAGAGTGGGACACGGGTGGCGCTGTGGGTTAAACCACAGAGCCTAGGACTTGCCAATCAGAAGGTCGGCAGTTCGAATCCCCGAGACGGGGTGAGCTCCCGTTGTTCGGTCCCTGCTCCTGCCAACCTAGCAGTTCAAAAGCATGTCAAAGTGCAAGTAGATAAATAGGTACCGCTCCGGCAGGAAGGTAAACGAAGTTTCCGTGCGCTGCTCTGGTTCGCCAGAAGCGGCTTAGTCATGCTGGCCACATGACCCGGAAGCTGTACACTGGCTCCCTCGGCCAATAAAGCGAGATGAGCGCCGCAACCCCAGAGTCGGCCACGACTGGACCTAATGGTCAGGGGTCCCTTTACCTTTTACTTTCTACAGACTGTTTTTCGGGGTGGGGGGGTAAGAAGAGGGAAAGAGACTGCTATGTCAAAACTTATGAAATTAATATTTTTTAAACTTTCCCTTGGTCAGGCCTAGTTAACAGCACAACACTTAGGAGGAGGTAGGTGACTGGGGGCTCCAGGTAAGCTGTGGAGAAGGAGTCAGGACACGACAAGAGAGTATCACATCAACTATCCTGCTCTGCAGCTGCAGCCCACGTCACACCAATGCTACCACGTCAGAGGAGAGAGGTGGGTGGGTGGCCCAGGCAAGCCATGGAAGAACAAGTCTAAGGGGAGAAGAGTATGGCGTGCTGTAAGGAAAAGGAGTTGGCAAGAAAACTGACCTAAGTCCCATCTCCTAGCCAAGTAATATTGAAGTAAGCAGTTACTCTTACTTTTTGGTCCACGTTTGCAAAATAAAAGAAAGAATGGCCTCCCTGTTAAAGATTTCTGATTTATAGCATCTTGCTGAAGGGAGGCCCTTTATCATTAGAGTGAAGCCTATTATCATTAAACATAAATAGTGATATTTCAGTGTATTCTTTTTGCTTCAAGGTATACATTCTAGCAGAGAAAGGGCTAGGAAGACATGCACAAGTAAAAAACAAGTACCAGTTTGCCTAACCATCTTTAAATAAGAAATACCGTATTTTTGGGACTAGATTCTGAAATTTGATTGTGGTTTCTGTAAGATTTAAATGTGTGGGCATGGCAGCAAAAATAATCCATGCACAGTCTGGGGGGTGGACAGGTTCCAGGGAGAAACAGTAACATGTTTGGCAAGTATTTAGCACTTGTATCGACATGAAATTGAGCTTGTGTAATCAATGTTATATGGTTATGTATCTTTAGTTGGCTACCTGGTTCTGCAAGGAAGCATTTATGCCTGGTGAGCAATTTCCCATTCTGTGTGAGCAGCAACAGCCTTCCCCCAGAATGTCTAGGAGTGCTTTTTTATAGCAAGAATACAAAGCTGAAAATGAATGAACTGCAGCTAAAATATTATGTTCATTTTTCACATGGTCTAGTCCTTCCCCTGCCCACCCCCCTAATATTCTTAAGAGGGTCTCTTCTCCAGTCTTCTGAGAGGAGCTAGAATTGGGGAGGCAGGAAAGGGTCCTCCTTTCCTTCCACTGCAGTTTTAATCTGAAATCTTAGGCACAGTATTGCGCCCAGAGCTCAGAAACTGATCATGCTAATGAAATTCCCAGTCGCAAAATGTGCCAAGGACAATGGGAGTTTCAAACACTGCTTGCTAGTTATTCACAAGGCTGATGTACAAGTACTAATTTTATGAACTATATTTCCTTTCCAACTGAGAACACAGGGCTGTTCTTCTTGCTTCCTTTTTGTTGGCAAAAAATAGGTAACACGTACAGAATAGTAGCATTAGTCTTCCTTCCATAATTTTCTATTGGAAAGTGAAAATACACATTCCAGTTCTGTGGGAGGAGGACGAATGTTGTAATGCAAAGAAGCAACCACAGCAGAGAAGCCTGCCAAGCAAGTCCATGAGAGGAATATCCCTCACTGCAAAAACCCCTAGACAGTGATGGGAAATCTGTCACCTACACAGAATACAAACGATAAACCTTGGTGAATCCATCCAATCTCAGCCTAGCTATACAGTCCATATATTTTGTTCAGGGCTGGAAGAGCTAAAGTTGATGCAACAAATGCTATTCTGCTCTCATGAACATTTTATATTTGAATGGGCTCCAGTGATTAAGTAGTTTTGATTTAGCTGTTTTAGTGTCTAATAGTAATTTAACTGGCATTTATACTAGGTAGAAAGAGGTGAACCAAGAAAGCATGGGTTTTTTTCACCATCTATGAAAATGTAGGCACACCTTTGCCATTTCTGTAACATCAAAATACCGTCATGGCGTTTAAGAAACATTCAACTAAAGGTATCCTGCTCTAGCAGACGCAGTGTATAACATTTTTTAATTTTATAAAAAGAATTGCCACTGCATTGGCACATTAGTCACCCAACTAAGCAAGCAAACCAGCCCCCCCCCCCCAATATTTCAGGTCCAAATAATGCATTTTGTAGCACCTGTAACAGGGTATCGTCACCTATCAAAGTCAGCCTGGCCACATAAACAGCAACCAGTTGTGGCATCTCTGCACAGCCTTGGATGTCAACAGGCTGACTTTCTCTTGTCACTGGCAGCAGATACGAAGCCAGGGAAGGCGCATGAACATGGGAGGAGGGGGAGGAAAGTGGAAAGGTGAAGAAAGTATGCATAAGCAGCCATTATGGTGCTATATTGCTCTTTCTATGCAGACCAGTACTCCCAGCCGTATCTAAGCTGCCAATCCAGGCACTGGTAAATGGACATAAATCTTGATAGCACAATGGCAACATGAGGCTTATTTATCCAGCTCAGTCGTCACTATCTGCCCTGCCCCAAAGCTTCTAAGCCCCACAACACATATTACTTTGCCACTATGCAGATGAAGCAACATGTTAAACCCTAGAGAACACTCTGCAGGGAGAAAAGCTATGGTTTGGTGGGAAAGAATGACATGTCATGGAGGGGTGAATGAATTGTATTCTGTTTTAAGTGACCAACGTATGAAATATTTAATGCTGCTCCTATTGTAAACTTCTTGCATTCTGTTTTTGTACTGTGTAAGCCATCTTCAGGGGACTATATTAAAAAAAACCCAACCCACTATTTCATAAATGAACAATCAAAATGTACAGGCTGACAATTTCTTGCACATTTAGGTGTTAGTCCCCAGACCCATGGAACTGCTTACATGTTTGTCGTTAAGAAATCAGTAGAGCAAGTCACATCTAAATCTAACCTGAGTTTTGGTTCCAAAGGTACAAGTATTATGTCACACACACACACACACACACACACACAGAACAAAGTCACCTTTTACACATAATGAAGCTATTTGAACTTTGTTTCACAAAGCTGAAGTAGTTCAGAGTGTTTTATTCTTGCTGTTAACATTGCTTCTGCTCCATCTAATCCAAGGTTATGGTCCAGAATTAACCTCCCACTCACTTGCCCTGGCAAGCACCTGCAAAGGAACCGTAAAAACCGGGCACTTAAAATGTGCATTAACCTAGGTTAGAATAAATGAGTGAAGCTGAATCTGCAGCCGTGGTTGTGGTTCTCTGTTATAACATTAACTAGCAGGACCAGGTGTGCAGAACCTTTGGCCCTCCAGAGGTTGCAGAACTGCAAATCCTATCATCCCTGACTATTGGCCATGGTTGCTAGGGCTGATGGGAACCATAGTTGAGCAACATCTGGAGGGCCACAGATGCCCCACACCTGTAATGGATCAAAGTCAAGAAGAGGAATAAGCAATGTTATATTTAACAAAACACAGCACTAAACTGCCTGAATGTGCAGTTTAAATGTTATTTTTTCCTAGTTCCCTGGCCTAGTTCTCAGGAAAGTTGTAAGGCTATGTCTGAATGAACAGTTTGAGTGTGTGTGTGTGTGTGTGTGAGAGAGAGAGAGAGAGAGAGAGAGAGAGAGAGAGAGAGAGAAAGACAGACAGACAGACAGACAGACATGGCAGTATGCTTTTCCATGTAATAAGTTTGTCCCACAAAGAAATCAAGTATGGGGGTGGGGGAGAGACTGTAGCCTAGCCCTCTCCAACATGCTGACTTTCTATGTAGAGAGAACGACATCATACAGTTGTGGCATGTGGGGCAAGAGGAGAAAATCTCCAAAGACCACAGCAGTTGGGTATCTTCCGGGAGCTATTGAAGCTGAAGGATAACCTTCAGGAAAAAAGGAAGAAGATGTAGGGAGTTGAATCTACTTTATCTGCTGAATTTCCTTCTCCCTCTGGCACTGATACTCTTTAGGCTTGCCAATTAACTTGAAAAGTCCCGGTCTCTCTGCTCCTGCACCTTTAACAACCATAAATTATTGGGGGGGGGGAGCAGGGGTAACATTAATAGGGGGTCATGTTGATTCCCGTGCCCTATGTCACCCAATGAGCAGGTTGTTAGATGTAGAAAAGAAAAAGCAGCTGCCAGCAAGGGTTGGCAATCCTAATTTCACTTAACAGCCTTACAATAGGAATGTTGCAGGTCCATTTGTACCCTCTTAAATGGTGTGCTATTTCTTATTGATGAGGTTATTTCTTCCTCTCTTACTTACTAAGGGCATTTGTACCACGCTCTTCAGTCAGGAAGACTCCTAGAGCGGCTTGCATATACAGTCTGTTTAAATAAGACAGACCCTGCCTGCACTGCAGGCTGACAACCTAAAAGACATAACATACAAGGGAAAGAGGAAAAAAGCAAACTCAGCTGCCAATTCTTAAAATTTAATAGTTCTTATAACCAGATGGAAACAGTTCAGGGACCTTTCAAAAGAGCTGATGGAATGAGTCCTGCTTCTCATCTCACTGAGTTTTCTCATTTTCAAGTTTGCCCCATAAGAGAATTGTCAACACAGCCTTCTCAAAACATAATAAAATGCAATTAACAAAAAAGGGCCACCTGCTTAACAGATGCATTTAGGCAATATGGGTAAGCTATCCTGTGGTTAGTTTCAGCCTCATCACTACCTTGGAACTAGACGGCTGTCATTGTCAGAATAGTGGCTCTTACTCCCAGGTTTATCTGTTCACTGAAAGAGACACATGGAGTCTGTCCAACTTAAGCTACCATTCCGCATTACAAGTATCCAACTGGTAACAAATTATTTTATTTCTTTATTTTTAAAAAGATGTATGAACTGCTATTTCACACGAAGAAACAACAAAGCAGCTTACAATAAAAAATACATAAAACCAAACCAGTGCTTTTTTCTAAAAAAAAATGTTTAGGGGTATTCTCATTTTGACTCAAGAAAATCACCATTTTATAGTTCAAATCAGGAAAAATAAATAGAGTAAATGGACAAAAGTACAAAGATTCACAAAATGTTTAGGGGTATGCGTACCCCTGTGTGTCCCCCAGAAAAAAGCACTGCATAAAACCATAGAGTATTTTACCATCACTGGTATTTTACTTTCTATTGTCTAACTCTAAAGGGAAACTTACACTGGTGCTTGTTACATTACTTCTTTAGAACATCAGAGATAAAAGGGAAACACAGGAAGAAGCCTAAAAAGTAGAAACACAGCAGAGAATTCTGTCCCTGCATTCAAACACTATCACCAAGAATTACTTGCAGAGACATTCCGTCAAAGTAAAAAGTGACGAAGAGCTCTTAAGTATGCCCCTAATGCACCTCTAAAGTAATTAAGGTAGAAGCCCTGCCTTTACCAATGCACATCATAAGGAGGCATGGCTGGTTCTTCAGATGCAGTTAAGCTTTATATCACGTTAATAGGCCATCACTGCATCACAAAACAAAATTTTCATACATAATGAACCCATTTTACTAAATTTTCCATGCTACCCTGAAAAAGAAAGTGGATTCGTGTCCTTAGATATCTGCAATTGTAAGCATGGTATCCAATAGTGTTAAGCAATTTTTATCAGTTTATTCTCCCCACACTCAAGGCTGCCACATCATCCCCTATACAGTGGTACCTCGGGTTACATATGCTTCAGGTTACATACGCTTCAGGTTACGGACTCCGCTAACCCAGAAATATTACCTCGGGTTAAGAACTTTGCTTCAGGTTAAGAAATTGTGCAGCAGCGGTGCAGCGGCAGCAGGAGGCCCCATTAGCTAAAGCGGTACCTCAGGTTAAGAACAATTTCAAGTTAAGAACGGACCTCCAGAACGAATTAAGTTCTTAACCCAAGGTACCACTGTATCTGCTGCAGCAGGGGGCATTGGGGGGAGAGGGAGAGATGGACAGACAAATTGTGGAAGAAGAGTAAATGAGAGGTGAGCATCACAGGGACAATAAATAGTATATGACATCTTCAGACACTCCCATTGTTGTACTACAGTCCTATGCATTGCTTCTACTTAACTGTGCACAGAACTAAAGACACAAATAACTTGCAGATCTAGAGAAACAACTCTCACCAACATGTAACAGAGGTGTGGGGAACTTAGATCCAACAGATACCTGTCCCTTAACTCCCATCAACCTCAGTCAGCATGGCCGATGGCCAGGATAAAGGGAGTTGTGGTTAAGCGACATCTGGGGGCCACAGGTTCCCCACACATCCTTTAAAAGTTACACAGAAAATCAAAGTTAGTTTTAAACTAACTAAAGTTTGCAGAGTTGGGGGGGTGGGACGACCCAGGGTGGGGAAAACATTCATAGCTCCTACTATTCACCCCTACACATAAACTGAATTTCTGGCAGGCCAGGGCATTGTCCAGTTGAAACAAAGGTGAAAAGAATACTGTGACAGTAATTCAGCACACAGGTAAGTACTGCCTCCACATATAGGAAAGAGAAACATTTATACCAGGAGAAAGTTTCATCTATGAGCAATACCAATTTAAATTTCAAAACATTTCATTTCGTCTTTGCTACCAGAACTACACTAACAATGGCAATGTTAGTGTACAATAGCAGGGGACCACCAAGAAAATAAATTGTGGCTTTTTGCCTCTATTTGTGTCATTCTAATTTGTTTTAATTGGAACAGAATTAGATTCCCAAAGAACCACAACTACAAGCTAGAGCACAGTGAAACATGCCACTGCACATTATACTACTTCAACATTCAAGTTTAACAACTTCTCAAGTAGGTTATGTGGAGTACTATCCTCATACAAGCCTGTAATTGAATGTGGAAAACAATTTCTCACCCATTCCATTTAAAGCAGGTAAGACTATTTAGAACACATTTCTGTGTATTTCTCTGTTGTCTTAGAGCACTAATAGATATGTTTTTAAAAAGTGAACAATGGGAAATGAAATATTTTGCATGTTGTACTCAGAAATTCTACCATGTTCGACAGGGTTTGTTCCCTAGTAGGTGTGTTTAGGATTGAAATCATAGTTACAGATTTCACAGTAATACAGGAAAGGTATAATAGCTAGTATAAGAAAAACATATATTTTATATATTGATATCTTTGTTTGAAACAGTCTTCATAAGATGTCCAAGAAAGCATACTGTAGCTTTTAACACTTATATTTAGCCATTTCTGCTTTTCTTTACTCAGTGGTCTTTTTTGTTCATAAGCTCAAAATGTCAATGTGCAGCCCTGTGTGATTAATACTGAATGTTCAATAAAAGTATTGAAAAGAAGCAGCTTGATGTCAAATCAGAAAAGTGTAAGCCAATTTAAAAAGTAAAAACACTTGCCCCAATCAGTACTCACATGGCAGGATACTTTAAGTGCCCCAACAATGATTTTCAGATTTTTAGATATTCAAAATACAATACTTAACCCTCTAGAAATCAAAATACAATGTCATTACTGAGACACAGTTGCCCCAAGCTTCTGAGCAAGATTCAATGGCTTTTTAAAATGTCAAATACTGAAATATAACTTATTTCACTGAGTCCTAATTTTAACATCCTAATTGTTATGAGTCTCTGTACCAGGAATCCCAGTGCTTAATTAGTAATAGGGTTGTGGCACAAAGCTCGTGTCCTCGGAACCTGAGACCCCTAAAGATGCTGTAATGCAATTGCTAGGAAGAATGCTTGAGAGACACTCACCAGTCAATCTCCAGGGACAGAGAATTATTATCCACTACTAATACAATGCATGGGTCAGAGATAACCAGCTTCCAATACAGATTCCAGAATTCAGACTCAGCAGATACAGTATTTGGTAGGTTTGTTCCTCTATTTTCAGCTGTAAAACTGACCTAACCAAATGAATTAACCTAGATATATTGTATCTTCTTTAAAAGTCAGATCACCACTTACATTTACAAAATTCAGCAAGTATCAACATAGCTCCACCCATGCACAAGAGGGAGGTATCAAGGGACTCAGAAAAACCACACGGTTTGCAGAAGTACAAAACCTTAAAAGAAAAAACATGAGGAGGGAACCTCACAAACGGCTCAATAAGGACTAAGCACACTCAATGGCCACAAAATGCTGCCTTGACTATTGAGAGGATAGAAAACAGAGGACGAGACAGAATAGAGTGGCTAGAATAATGAAAAGGAGTATTCCACACTACAATTATTTTGTTGCATGTCTCACTTACACAGAAGCACTAGCAGTGAATCGCTTAACAAGCTATAACTCAAGCAAATGTATTCCTATTCTACATCATGTTAGTTGTAAGCTTCTGAACTACCATGTCTCCTCAGAGTTGACCAAAAAACTCCAAAAGGAATGTGGTTGGTTGTAGGTAGAACAGTGATGTGAGTTTTCCCTGAATATTTTGAATTGAAAGATGCTTCCTATACAAATTAGGGTAATTTGGATACAGTAATTTGCATCAGAGAATTACCCTAGCTGTCAAGCTTGCCTGATATTTATCTGTAGCTATGTCAGTTTCATTCTGTCAGTTTCACAAGTATCAGATCATAAATTTGCTCCATTTTTATGGACTTTAAAAAAACCAACCCACAGCATTCATTTTCTACAAACCCTGGCTACAGTTCAAGGTTAGACATGGAGTGCAAGTCTTGGTTCAGGTGACACGTTAAGCCAAACTTTTACTTGACTTGGTGTAGTGCAAAACTGGGGAAAAACACCCTCGCTGGGTGTCTGGGCAATCTCAGTAAGCCATAGTTTACTGTGTCATCTGAACCAAGTCAGCATGTCACAACCATAAAAAGATAGCCATAAGAAAATGCAAAGAGCGTTCCAAGTTATTCCCAGAGATTCAATGGAAGATAGCATCTCTTCCTGTTCTATGAACAAAGCTTGAAACTACTTGACATCATCACCTATATTTATAAAAAGCATTTTTTAAAGTGATGTTTTCCTATTGGAACTCGCCAGACCATGAAAAAATTGTTGAATACAAAATGAGAACAACCAACTTTTGTGATGGCTTTAGAATCTTAAAGACCCAATATTTACACAGACTTTTGGTATCTGAGTAATTTCCCCAATAAATTATCATCATAACTTTACTTATACTCAGGAAATGCAATCAGAAAACATCAATGAAGGATACTGAAGGAAGTACTAAAAAGTAGATCAGAATAGAGTTTAGGGATAGCAACAGTACAATCCTACAACCGCCTGTTAAGAGATAATGGCATCTAGGGAAATGTGCACTAGCACCTTCTTCTACCACACAAAGCTGTATTATGAAATGGCAGAGAGGAAAAGTCAAACCAGTAATTAATACTAGAGTAGCTGTTCAAACACATTTGAGGTGTGGTGAGAGCCAAGCCAGAGAGAAACTAGAAAAACTTACCAGTAAATAACAGAATGATATTAATGGTTACCCAACACAAGACCTACACACTATGATGCAGCATCAGTGTGCAACACTTTCACCAATCCTATCAGGGCAATGACATAACAGTTTGTAATCTGTGGGATATTCAGTTGGGCTTGTCCATTCTAGCACCTCCCAGCCCTTTCAGTCATGCTAAGCTTGAGGGAACTAATTTGCACCCCGTCAGATGCCTTACAAGTGTAACACAGAGTCCACAGTATGTGGGAAAGAATAAGGTATCCCTAACATTATTTCACATAACACCAAAATGCTAAAATCAGCTCGAGTATCTGCCATAAACAATCAGTACTAAGACATAGTTTCAATATCCAGGAAGCAAATGATGCTTTTTGAAAACTGGCAGATGAGAGAACTAAAACCCCTTCGGAGAAATGAATAATTTAAAATGGTATATTACTTGCATTCCACTGTAACAATCCCAATACCCATCAAGTCTTCCATCATTGTGACCAGAGAAACCAGCTATGTATAAAAATGTGTTGATTCTTCAAGTCCAGGCTACAACATAGCCACAAAACCTTACTTCATTCTTGGCTAACAGTTGTTCAACTTGGAACAACGAAATATGCACAAGGCAGGAAGTTATTAGAATGCCATTAGCATTTTAACTAGACAAAATAAGCATTGCTCCCAGTGGCTACTCAACTGTTCTTGGATAGTCACTCCAGAAAAATGCAAAGGCACTAGACAAGCCCAATCAAATATGTGCTAGTTATTTGGGGAAAAGATTTCTGCATTGCAGGGGGCTGGACTAGATGACCCTTGTGATCCCTCCCAGCTCTTGTGATTCTATAAGTCTGTTTATCAAGGCATGTCCTTTAAAGATTTCACAAAGAGCAGTGTATACTTGGGCAGGTACATGATACATTCCTCTTTTGTGACACCTGAGAACAATATTTTACTAAAGAGCAATATATAAATGTTTGTGCACTATCACTATGCTGAATTGTTTCCCTTTCTTTTCTAACTAGACAACTATTTAATCAAACATAGGAGAAAAGATGCAACAAGAGGCAGCTTTAGTATTCAATATGATATGCGTAGTAAAGGAAACAACTTAAGACTCAACTACCTTGCACAGAACGCTGTCACAATTTCTTGTTGACATGGTAGTCTTCAGTTCAGAAAATAGATTAGTGAAGCTGAAAAGCATAAAATGCTTCTGCATGCTTAGTCAAATAGATTCAATTGAGTAGAGACAAAAGCATCATAGAAAATGTCATCCTTCATGTATAAGCATTAAATAAGATACCAAAAAAAAGTTTTTTATTACTGCATCATTACATTCATACCTCACATTTCCTCCAAAGAGTTCAAGGTGGCATAAACAGCTCTCCCATTTCTCCATTTTATCCTCAACAAGCATGCAGGGTAGGTTAGGCTGAGATGTGGTGACTGGCCCAAGGTCACCCAGTGAGCAGAGGTCACTAGGTGAACAGGGATTTGAACCTGGGTCTCCCCCTTCCTCGTCTAACACTCTAACCACTATGCCAGACTGACCACACTTTGGATTTAGGCTACCCATGAGCTCAGTAAGACAAGGGCAAATTCTCTCTTAAGGTTCTTTACACACACACACCCCCCCTCATCTTTAAAATCTTCTCATCAAAAACAGGTCCATCACAAAGGGTGCTTAAGCATACCTTGGCCACTGCTACTTTCCTCTTCCAAAAGAGTTATCACAACCGTTTTAACTTTTAAAAAGGAGTTCTTGTTGCAGATCAGCTTCATAAGACTTAAGGATATACCAAGCTACAATTATACTAACCAAGGGAAGGGGATGGGCAAAAAAGCACACCTGGGAGAGGACACTGCAGGAAATAGATCTGAAGGGATACAGAGTCAAGACACCTTGACCGTAATGGCCACAACTCTCAAGCAAGAGGTTTAAGGTTTAAAATGACAGCTCCGGCACCGTTTCAAAGCATGCTTCCAGAGCGGGTGGGGAGGGGGATTCCGGCTGGTTTTCTCTCCTATTAAGTTACAAGGTTACGCTCTCCTCCCGCATGCGGCAGCCCCTTTTCCCCGCAGGAGTCCCGGGGAGCGGCCGCGTGAGTCACTCACCTCGTGAAGAATTCGGCGAAGCTGGAGCTGGCGAGGCCTCCCAGCCGCTTCGCCCGGTCCCCTTGCTCCGAGCCGGCGGCGGCGGCGGCGGCGGCGGCGGCGGCGGCAGCTGCATTGGCGCCGGAGGCGAGGGCGGGCGGCGGCGGCTGCTGCGGCTGCAAATGCTCCGGGGCGCTGCGTCGGCGGCTCACCTCGAAGGTGTTGCGGGAGTTGAGGTTGATGTCCATGAAAGCCAGCGAGGGCAGGCACGGGAGAGCCCTCGCCGACGGGGAGGCCAGGCTCTCCGCCTCCTCGGAAGCCGGAGAAGGGCTCCCTGAAGCGGACGACGACGACGACGAGGGCGAGGGAGACATGGCCGGGGCGGCGGCGGCGGCGAGGCCGCAGCTCTTCAGCGACAGAGGCGGCGGCTCCTCCTCGAGAGCAACCGCGCTCTGGGCCACCGGCAGGAAAAAGGCGCAGCCGCCGTTGTGGAGCGTCGTGCTTTGCGAAGCCGGCGGCTCGGAGGGGCTCGACGTGCCCCCCTGAGGAGGCGGCGGCGACAGGAGGAAGCCGGCGTCCCCGTTGGTCATCCTCCCTGCGCCGCAGGCGTCCCCGTTGGGCGGCCTCTTGCCGGCCAGGTAGCAGCGCAGCCGGGCCCCGGGGCCCTCTCGGCTGCCGTCCGCTTCCGCGTCGTCGTCGTCGCCGCTGCCGCCCTTCGCCTCCTCCTCCGGCGACGCCGCCTCCTCCTTCTCCCGGCCCGAGGGAAGCAAGGATGCGCCGCCCTGAGCTCCGGCATCCTCCGGCCCAACCATTTGCCGACGCAGAACCCCCGGGGAGCCAGCGGCGCGGCTGGGAGCGGGGAAGGGGAGCGGGGAAGGGCAGGGGGAGGAGGAGGAGGCGGCGGCCCGGCCCCTCACGGTGGCGCACAGGGACCGACGGGGCGGGGCGCCGGCGGCTGCTGCTGCTGCTGCGCTCCTCGGCTCCACCAGCCGGTCCCGCTCAACGCAGCCGACTACGGTGACGGTGGCGGCAGGAGCGGCCTAAGGGGGCCCGGCTCGCGCAGGCGCACGGGGGCCTCTCGGCGGTCATCGCCGCCTACCATAGAGACGCTGTTGCTGGCGCGGAAGTGGCGCCTTGTAAACATCCGGCCCTCTGACGCCCATGGCGGGCCGATGGAAGGCTCGCAGGTTTACCGTATATCATCTAAGGCTCCCGCCTATAACAAAGGGCGGTACGGTATTGTTACATATCCCTCTTGGTAACCAGCCCGTTGGGGCAGCTCAGCCAGCCTTGCGCTGTTTCCCGTATTCCACTCGCAGTGCGCGTGGGTAGCCGGGAAGGGACACACACACACGTGTCATTTTTTTCCCCAGTATTCCGGGTGACAGGCAAGGTGTCAGCTGCTTCTTAGTCTCCCTCTGCAGAGTTCATTATCCAGCCACCGGAGCCTATTGATTACGGCGCCAGGTATCACGTGCTACGGTATGGGGCTGGATCCAGACCCAGGTTGGCTGAGCTTCAGCTGCCCTCGAAACCCTGCTTAACTCAAGAGGACTTGCTTCTGAGTACAAGCACGGGTAGTTCCCACCCGTGGAGTTTAAGAAATTACTGACTTGCTCCACTAATTTCCCGTGTAGCCTCACCTCAACTAAAAGTGCAAACCAGTGCCTGGAAGTACTGCGTGTTCGTAGAACACAGGCATGCCTGTAAATGATTGCAGGCTTCGTCTGCATCCAGCCGAGGCACACGTTCAAGCGTCTCCTGCTAACATCAAAAGAACTTTTTCTATGTAGGCAGTGAGGTGGTAAAATGCACTGTACCAGAACTCAAGTTGGGGGTTACAATTTCTGGATGCCCCCAGCCACCCTGTGTAATGAAATCCCCTGCAGTTAGAAACCAAAACTCTTATCGTAAGGATAAATAAAGGTTCTAGCATAACCCTCTCCCTGTCTGTCTGGTTTTCTGCTTACAGGGAATGTTTTGTTTTACACTGGAAGGAATCAAAACATGATCCCTCTTACCTTCATTCTGAATTACTTCATCCATTCTGTCACATTGGGACAGTGAACTGAGCCCATCTGACCCAATGGGAATTTTAAGCTTTTGCAATTCAGTCCTCTTTAATATATTTTTTCTAGAAGAATATGGCATTTGTAGTATAAAAGCAAATACTTTGGAGAAAGGGGCATTCTACTCAAGATAACAGGCCAACATACAGTATTCCCCATATAACTTTACACTGCAGGGAGTATCCTGTTGCAGAGAGGCCAAAACAAGTTTATCCTGTCTACAGCCAATCTTGTGTGACAAACTCAATGTCACCCTTATTGTTTTGTTTACACTTCATCTAAGAACTTTTCTTACCCTGTGTTGCATCTCTTACATTGTCATTCAGGAGCTGTTTGGCTTTAATGTTACAGCGCACTGTTTCCACAGGTTTATAACTCAGCCATGAAAGTGCATTCCGGAGTCAAACTTGTCATAGTATATCCCCATCTGGAAGTTAAATAGTTCACAGGTAATTTGGAAACATTCAGATAAAACTTCCAAAGGGCTAATTCTATTAAGCTGCAGTCCTTTGCAAACACTTAGCTAGGAGTGTGGAAGGCGAAATATGCTAATTTCAGTTTCCTGCAGTTTCGCTTTTTCCCAGTTCTCCACATTTCCACATCAGTTCGCATTTTTTAAGGTAAGTCCTCAGTTCATCAGCACTTTAGTGCCAATGACACTAACAGCCACACTTTTACAAAGCATTTCCCCTAATATGTGTTTTGGTAAGTTATTTTCACTAATGTATGTATTTATATGCACACTTTAGTATGGATGGAGAACTGTGTTGCAAAATTCAGATAAGTGCAACTTTTTGAAAAATGGTCATGTTTCAGTCTTCGTATTGCGTTGGAAAGTGCAAATTTCGTAAGTTCACCTTTAAATACAAATTGAATTGAAAATCCACACACACCTCATCCCCATATGGGTGTATCATTGAACTCAGTAGAACTTATATCTGAATGTATATACATAGGATTCCATTGTTAAGACCCAACTGCACTATACGTATTAAACAGTCATGGCTTCCCCCAAATAATCATGGAACCTGTAGTTTGTTAAGGGTGCTGAGAGTTGTTGAGAGACCCTTATTCTCCTCGCACAGCTGCAATTCCCAGACAAAGGCTGCTGTGGAGATCAATGAGGATATATGTGAGAGTTTTTAACTGGGAGCTGTAAGTGAGAAGTGGTGTTTGTGTAGATCTGATAATGCCAAGTTTGCAAGTTCAACCCCCATATAGGACAGCTGCATATTCCTTCAGGGGGTTGGACTAGATCAGGCACCCCCAAACTCAGCCCTCCAGATGTTTTGGGAATACAATTCCCAGCATCCCTGACCACTGGTCCTGTTAGCTAGGGATGATGGGAGTTGTAGTCCCAAAACATCTGGAGGGCTGAGTTTGGGGGTGCCTGAACTAGATGATCCTCAAGGTTCCTTCTAACTCTACACTTCTATCTTATGTTTACAGATCTGGATTACCATACTCAGACTGCACATTAAACTGGGAGTGTGTCAAGGAAACTTACTCTCAGTAGACATTCATAGGATTGCACTGTCTTCTGAGGATTGCGCTTCTCTCCATCTCCCCGCTCCCTTACACACACACCCATTTATCCATGATGCACCTTACTACATGCCTACCATTCTACAAATCATTCAAAACCCACTTAACAGGCTAGATACACCTTTAATGCAAAAGGTGCTTCCTGGTGTCTACAGCCATTTGCTGCGGTGCACAACTAATTGTATATGACGATAGTTAAGATCAAGACCAAATTGCTAACACTGTTACATATTGCTGGGGAAGAGGCACCTTCCATGCTTTCCATGGGCCACAACTAGCAAAGGGAATCAAAGAAGGTACCAACTTACATTTGGTCAGTTGTATGTCAGACTTCAGTTCAGAAATGTTGCTTCACATTATCTGCTTTCCCCCAGGGCCCAGTACGCTCTCGGCAATAAACCCTTTAGCAGACCTCTTCTTCCAAGGTGGCTACTTCAGTGCTGTTCTTACAATGGAGTGTCCCAAGTCTCCCCCCTTTTTTTTACAGTCAAGTCTCCTCAGAAGTAGGTCCCCAAACCCCCTGGACAGTCAGGATCCTCACAAAACTGCCTCAAGGTTCCAGGGAAAATTCTCTCCCCCACCCCACCAAAGAAGACAGGTGTAGTCTACCTCAATGCCCTTGGCAGGCTTAAATCCAGGGCTCCTATACCCAGGGAGTAGGGTGGGTAGATGCTAGGTAATCATAGGCTATGGGTATGCCATATCCAGCAGCAAAGCAAAGACTATATACAGCCTATGTGGAAGAGCCTTATTTGATCACCTCCTTTTTTTTTTTTAAATGATGTTTATTGAGAATTTTAAGGTTACAAAGAAGAAAGAAAGAAAAGACAAGAGAGGGAGAAAAAGAGAGAAAGAAATAGATAGACATAACAATTAAACAATACAGATCAATAAAAACCAAAGTCAAAAAAAAATTAACAAAACACACAATACATCTAAATCAAAAAACAAAAATAAACAATTAAAAAAAAACAAATCTAATATTCCCAAATCCTTAACTTTCATTAACTTATTTCAACGACCTCCTCACACCTCCCTTTTTTGTATTCTAGTTGTTAATTATCTCAGCAAATCCTTTCCATCTTTCACAATATTCTGTCATTTAAATTACCTTGATCTATTTTAACCTTATCTTACCTAAAAACCCTAAAACTTAAAACTTAAACTTATATATACCAAATTCTTTTAACCATAACATATTCTTTCATAATTCTTTTTGACATTTCTGCTAAAGCCAAATAATTTCATTCCAACATTTTTCTAATACTCATTAATTTTACAATACTTTTCTAAATAAATTTTTAAACTTTCTTCCAATCTTCATCCATCGTCTCTTCTTCCTGGTCTCGGGTTTTGTCAGTCCTTTCTCGTCTATCTAATCCATCAACCTGGTGCTCTTATGTCCGAGGCTCTTAAATCTTTTCCATATCCCTTCTGCAGGTCTTCTTCTTGTTTATACCTGCCCTTTACTTTATCTTTTGTTGATCTTTTTCTTGTTTTCTTCCCTTTCTCATTGGGGGGTAGGTCTCGGGAGGACTCCAATCCAAAAGTATCTCCATCTCTCCTCAGCAGATCAGTCCATTCCCCACAGTCCCATTCCCCACAGTCAACACTGTATTCCAGAAAGTATTTAAAAGCATGTTTCAAAGTCTTTCCAAAATTAAGAGCCCTCCCAACTCCAGACTCCCCCTGGTCCACTCCGGATTCGAACTTCAAGAACAGCGGCTTATACTCCTGCAAGACCTCGGGTCTCTCCATTTGTGTTATTTGAGGTTCAACAACAACCTCCTCCATTTTCTTCTGCCCTTGCGCGTGCCCTATCAAAACAGATTCCTGGGCTGGTTCCTGAAAAGTTTCTATATGGGTATTTGCCGTTTGTCCAAAGTTTTTAACTGCAACAGTCATCAAATCCATCTTCTCATGCATCTGCTCCAGCAAGGCACTTGTCTTGCAAAAAGCAAGCACCAAGGCTTCTTGTAAACACATTTTCCCCCCCAAGGTTAGAGTCTGGTCTCACGATCCTAATCATACAGCTGTGAGGTCCCCAGATCAGCTCCGGCAACAAATTAACAAGCTCCCTCTAGAGGAGACAATTTCTATTTGTATCCATCTTTTAAAAGCAGGACCAACAAGGAAAAGTTACTTTCACTTTTCAAATACTTTGTTTCTTTTAATTGCAAGAAGCAACATTGAAATCAATATAGTTCTCTCTTTTTTTTTTTACTATCTGTCAAAAGATGTTCCGTTCACAATCGATGAACTTTCCCCATAAATTTCTGTCTCTGACACCCCGTTCCCAGGTTTGAGACGGTGGAAAGTTTATCTTTCTTTACTCTCTCTCCTGCAGGCTTAAACAGTCAAAAATCCCCCTCTTTTCTTCTGCTTCCAAGAGGGGTTTTGGTGGTGATGAATGAAGGAAATTTAAACTTTATATACGACTTTCCAGACTTTAGCTTACAAAGTTTTTGCTTCAATCTATTTACAAAAAACGGGAGGCGGACTTCCTGTTTAGAACCTTCCCGTTTCGGTGCCAAATTAAAATATTTCTTAGTACTTGATCCAATTTTCCGTTCTACTCACGGGTACTTGTTTAGAGTCCAATTGTCCACAGGAAAAGGTCAGCGCTCTCCGGCAACGGCTGTGCGGCTTCACTCTGTAAAAGTAGCAGTTGATTCAAAACACCGCGCCGCTCACCCCACGTCACTTCGGACCCCCGGAAAAGGGGTTCCCTGCGAGTAGGGAATCCCACGTTCCCAGGCTTCCTCCGCCTGGGATTTTTAAAGGGTCTCCGCCTTCGCCGTGGCGGCAAGACCCAATTTTCACGGAGCGGGTTCCTCTCTGTCAGAGGAACTCCGCCATTGCCGATGGCGCTGTCCCGGACGTCCTCCTTATTTGATCACCTCCTTTACCCACACTCATCCCTGGATCTCCACTGAACTTCTGCCCCTTCTTCCCTCTGAGGCATTTTATAGCCTCCCTGTCTCCCCACCCTTCATTCTGCCTAAGGTACAGCAGTTGGGCTCCCACACTTCTTCTCCCATAGGTGACGTCTCCAGGCAACATGCAAATGTGTTCTCCTTAGGAGCCACTGCCTGGTTAGTGCCTACCAGGTCCTACTTAGATGGCCAGGTGACAACCCAGGAACCCTGGTGTCCCATCACACACTCAAATAAGAGCTCCTCCATCAAGCTGCTACTTCTTTCTCACTCAGAGCAGCTTATATTTAAAAGGATACCCTTTGTCTTTCACAAACCTTTCCAAAAACAGTATTTCAGCAAAGCTAGCAGAGATATTGCTAGATGCCCACCTTGAATTACCAAAACCTATTGAGCTCATTTATTATTGATTGTTTTAATTACAATAGTGTCTGTAAGCAGGATCCAATCTTCATTGTACAATGATACCACCACACACACAGTTCTTATTTCAAGGCTGGTAAAGTCAACAGTATTAAGTTCTCACATGAATTTTAATTCCCTTCACGCTGCTCCCCTATGTGGCTTCCCTACTCTTCTTTGCCCATTCTTTAAAATGACAATGACCCCAAAGGAAGCTGGTGTTGTCTAGATAGCTGCTGGAACCATTTCTATCAAAGTTGTTTCCACCATGTCCTAAAATAGAAGCTGCCCTGCAGAAAAGGAAACCTCACTGTTTTACTGGCGGCAGTAGCAGCAGCAGGAACTTACATATATGCAATGCTATTTTTCTAGAAAAAGAGGTTCTGGTCTTCTTTCCATCTCGAGGCTAGTAACATCCGGGTGACTGTTGTTCCATACATAAAAAGAAGACCAAGTCCCTACCAGAGAGGAGTGGCAAACCAAGCTGATGGACTATGCCAGGATAGCAAAACGGACTGGTAAACTCAGAAACCAAGAGGATAAAAACTTTATAAAAGAATGGGGAAAATTTATAAGCTATTTAGGAGACCACTGTAAGCAGATGGAAACGTTAGCAGGATTTTGATTTCATTTGTAGTTTAAAAATTACCATGGATAATATGGTCTGATATAAAAGTTGGAGTATAGAGAAAAATATGCAGTATTAAATGTTCATAATGGGACCCCATGGAGGGGATGGGGGGAAAGTCCTGAGATCCAGAGGAATCTCTTTATACGGATATACTTTTTGATTCTTTGTTTATAACTTTATATTTGTAAAACCAATAAAAATGATTTAAAAAAAAAGAGGTGCTAGAACTCACCATGAACCCCTCCCTTGCTCTCTTATAATTGCAATGGTGACCACCTGAGAGGTGCCAGAATTGAGTTCTGGTGAGTTCCAGCTGGGGGAGGGGAAAGCCCTGCATATATAGTTTCCAGAGGGGTATCCACGTGTTAGTTTGCTACTGCAAAACCAGCAGCGCCCCCTATCTGCAGTATACATTTAAAGCAGCAGCATAACACTTTAAACAGTCGTGGCTTCTGCCAAAGACGGGAACTGTAGTTTGCTGAGAACTTTCAGAAGTCTCCCAATCCCCTGACACAGCTGTAATTCTCAGAGTGGTTTAACAACCAATCTTTCTGGTAATTGTATCTCTGTGAGATCATTCCACAGCCATGGAGACACCGCTGAAAAACCTCCTCCATGGGGTACACCTCATTCAGGGCAGCAACCATTGAAAGACCCTGGTCTGCCAGTTGGGATGGCCATTCATCCACTTTGCATACATCAATGTCAACGGCTGCCCCAGCTAGAAGGAGAATTGCCTCACAACAGCCACATAAAATGTCTATTTGAGCACAGCCTTGAAAGGGAAGACAGACTTCAATATCTCCAGATGCCAAAGAGTTACAGGAATACCGTCATTTCTCAAATAATGTATT